CGGGAGTAGCGCCAAGATATGGATAGTCCGGATGAATTACAAAGCCACTGGGCAGTACTTCAACCTTCTGATGTGTTGCACTGGCATGTTCACTATAGTTGTCAATTGCCTTCTGCTCGTGATCACATCCCCATTGTGTGGCTTTGCTACGAAACTTGTGTGCCTCAGGGTAACACACAGAGCGGACTAAGGACGCAGAGGGCTGGCTAATATCCGTGCAAACAGCAGACTTCAACTTTGAAGCTGTGATCCGGCCGGCGCGAAATTCAAACCAGGCCTTGGAATCTGCCTGGTTCCGCGTAGCCTGTTCCACAGCGTGTGCTCCCTCCTCTGAAACACAGACCGCTGGAAATACTGCCTCGCAACGAACGAGCAGGTCCCCAAAACTAGCATCCAGCATGTCTGGTTCGTACAATAAATCCAAAATGGGTGGATATCCCTCGGGCTTGGAAGGTACGTACCTATCGCAGAACCCGGGAACAAGGGAGAGTAATGACGGTTTACCGGCTTGACATAAATTTCCATATAGTTCACCCTGCTCAGCACTGGAGGGTTGCTTAATATCAGCAGGGACCTTCTCCTCCGACCTACGGCGCTTGCTCCCATGCTGTTTAGTGTCGGGTGCAGTGAAGTTTATGTCACGAATCCTGGCATACTCCACCTCCTTCATTGAAGGGGTTGACCATTGGCACGGCAATGAAGTGCTTCCTGTGTTCTCAATCAGCTGCGTTCTAGAATACAGGCTGAACAACAGTGCAGCAACGTGAGAACAAGACTCACCAAGACCAGCCATGCAGGTGCAGTGTGCACAAATCACGCTACCGTCGTTTTGCGCAGCAATCCAGGGTTGCAGATGGGTGCCGGAAACTGACTGGGAATGGCGGACTTTGGCGATGACAAACTTGCTGTCACATGTGTCAGATTCGGACGCTGGAAACGCACGAACATCGCCGACCCAGCCACTGACAAGGTATTTGTAGCCTTCCAAGCTCTTGTAGGCCTTGAGCTGCTCCTTGGTGTAGGGGCTGGGCGCGTTGACCAAGAAATTGTAAATATCGGGATAGTCCACAAGTGGAAATTTATCTTCCTCTAAAAAAATACTTCTGGGCAGGTAAGGATCACTCGAGTCTGGTGAAACGCGCTCGAGCTTTTCACGGTACCGGCATTTGCTGGAGTCATCTAACTCGTCATACACTTTTGAAAACTTGGGAGAAGTCATGGCCACTGATTCAGCGTTCGTACAATAGTCCTTTGTAAAGAACAGAAGAGGAACGTAACAGCGATACAGGAAATTTCCTTCGTGAAATAATTCCAGGCACATGTACTTCTTTTGAACTTTTCATCTCTTTTGCCACCCCTGCGGAGCGCGGCCGCTTTGGCCGCCTACACGCCGCCTGCACGTGATCCTTTCGCATAACCTATAGGTCTATACGACTCCCTGCTTCCGAGCAATGCTGGGCGATAGCCGGCCAGGTCAAGTACCATGAGTACAGGCCAGGGAGACGCTGATGCACCTCCCTTCGGCGACTCCCCTGGCCCTGGGCCTGGCCTGAATGCCGCCGGATGCACTGCGTGATCCCGGACGTGTCGAAATGCGGGCTCAGTCGATCATCAATGTTCAATGAGTGATAATGATGGGCTAAAATGACGTGTTGTCATGTTGCAAGGATCCGACTCCGAATGAGTCTACTTCAAATACGGGGCCGCGCCGTCCGTAATTATCGGACTTTTTTCACCAACTTGTGACGAATTATTATTTTTAGTTTAGACCCAACCCCTAGCCCTCCCTCCCTCCCCCTCAGAACGACATGCATAATATACAAATTACAATGTACATGCAAACGTCGCAAGTGTGTCACTGCATGCTCCTACGGTCATGTATAACAAGTTACATGTATGTATCAATGTTTTCTGAAGCGAAATAATTAATTGGTCAACCCCTCCCACCCCATAACGAAATTATTTCGTTTTGTGAAAAAAGTTCGAGAATTATGGACGACCCCTAGCCTAGCCTAGGCGCTAGGCCCTGTAACTTACTTACAGTGTACTTGCAGATTTACGGCGCGTTCGAATTGTCACTCTTTGACTTTTCAAGGAGTTTCGTTTTTCTGAAGAGGTGGCCTCTTCAGAAAAACGAAGCTCCTCGAAACTCATCCGATGGGAAGGTGGATTCGTTTCGAAGAGTTTGGCTACATCTACGTCACGTAGTACGTGGAGATGGTCGATCTGATCGGACGTCATCATCGCCATGACAATTCCACTGAAAAACTCTAAAAATTAATGATAGAAACCGTTCTAATGGGACACTTTATGTATACTATTAATAATGAGGAGGCCGAGGGTTTATGACCAATAAAAACTATTATAAAAACCGAGGTCCCCCGAGGTTTTTATAATAGTTTTTATTGGTCATAAACCCAAGGCCGGAGCATTTATTGTATTTAGAATCAACCAGTAAAAACTCCTACTCAATCTCCAACAACAAAATTAGCGGACAGCTGTTATTTGTGTTGCTATGACAACCCGTGTGCTGGACGAGTATTTGTTGTCATTGGTTCAATTTCTTTTAGTCTTCATAGGCTATCAGATCATTTTCCTTATTCGGTCTATTTATAACCAGTATCTATAATGAGAGTGTGGTCTGTCTCCATGGTTACCGGTGTTCATTTCATAACTATAGCCACTGCTCCTTGTTAGACCTTATCTGGAAGGCCCATTCTTGCATATTCCAACAGCAGCCAAGGGAGCTAGCTCTCTTGGTTATGCGGACTGGGTCCGATCCTAAAAAGCTGTTTTTATGAACTGTTTTTATGAACTGTTTTTATGAACTGTTTTTATTGGATAGGATATGATTATGAACTTAGAAGTTGCGACTTCGGCGGTAATAGTCATGAAGTTGATTGTTCCAACTAGGAACACACGCTTCTTGCCGAACTTGACACTTGACTGACTCACGACTGCCATCCGGAGCACACGAGGAGCACGTCGCACCTTCCACTCGGCAAACCTGCAAGAAAGCACCACTCCCTGCTCAATACACAGTGTTTCAGGGAATTCACCCCTCATCAGTTGAGCTTGAGTAGGCTGAGGAAGATTGTGCCTGAAAAGCACCACTTATATACTGCTCTCCAGGCCAAACCACCACCAGGGATACAAACTTACAGAGACGCTTTGTGCACGCTTTGTGCTCCGCTTTGTGCTCCGGATGGCAGTCGTGAGTCAGTCAAGTGTCAAGTTCGGCAAGAAGCGTGTGTTCCTAGTTGGAACAATCAACTTCATGGATATGATTATGTTCAATAAACGAGGTTTGTGTCAATGGGAGATTGACTTGGAGTTTTTACGAGTTGATTCTAAACAAATTTAAATTATTATTTGCTTGAACAGTTGATGAAGACGAACGCGCCCCTAGGCTATAACTTAGGTTACGTTTGGTTGGTCACATTCCCCAATGGGAATCACTTGGAATCACTCAGAATCATTCTCGCCCCGTTTGGTTGGTCAAAAAAGTGTGTTAGGTTGGTCCCATTCCAGACTGGGAATCGCTGAGAATGATTCTTTTTGGAGAATGATCATTCCACCTCACATGCTGGAATGAGCATTCTCATTCCGGAATCAAAAATGATAATGGTTGCCACGAGCCAAACAATGTAGCATCAGGTTTAAGTGCCTCAAATCATGCACTCAGAAGTACCTTGACTCTCTCAAGGAAACTAGAGTCGGTTAAAAGAGAAGAGATCCGCTGTTCCACAACGACATCATGGAATTGTTATGTCAAGTGATTCCTAGTTGATTCTGGCGTGTTTGTTTGGTCAGGTGATTCTTATCCATTCCCATTCCAGAATGGTTGTCATTTACATTCTGTGAAAATGCCCAACCAAACGCAACCTTAGTATAAGGCCTAGTATGTAGGCTTGTACTAGCATCATATTCATACTACTGTACTACTAGTACTACTGGGGGTCATCATGGTCATACTCATGCCCGGTCATGACTCATGGTCAAGAGCAGGGAGTCGCAAGGGCTAATTAAAGGGGAAGTTAAGGCAAAAATTAAAATTTCACCATTTGTAGTCTTCGGGGTGCTGAGTCGAATGGTCTTGGTCCGAGAAAGCTGAGACGCTCCCTTCCTACTTGAATCCCAATCGAACTCGCGCACTTCCACCGAAACTGGGTGACTGCGCCCTACTAGATGGGGATTTGTATGCAAAATGTCACTAAAAGCGCCATTTCGTTCTTATAAAAGCACGGATGACCGCGATTGGCCCATATGTTGTAGTCTTTTGGACGCTGAGTCGACTGGTTTTGGTCCGAAAAGGCTGCGATGCAGCGTTCCTCCTTTATTCCCAATCGAACATGGTTGAACAAGCGGTCACGTGCTCCTGGGTGCCCAAATCACCTGGTCACCACGCCAGCAGGCGACAACTTTCACACCAAGGGCAAGGTTCAACTCGAGTGACAGGACTGCACCCAAAAAAGGTCAAAACAGGCTAGTAAGTTGTACCCTGCAGGCACGGTGACCAGCTGACTGGTGTATGCAGGAGCACGTGACCGCTTGTTCAACCATGTTCGATTGGGAATTAGGGGCGAACGCTGTATCGCAGCCTTTTCGGACCAAAACCAGTCGACTCAGCGTCCAAAAGACTACAACATATGGGCCAATCGCGGTCATCTGTGCTTTTATAAGAACGAAATGGCGCTTTTAGTGACATTTTGCATACAAATCCCCATCTAGTAGGGCGCAGTCACCCAGTTTCGGTGGAAGTGCGCGAGTTCGATTGGGATTCAAGTAGGAAGGGAGCGTCTCAGCTTTCTCGGACCAAGACCATTCGAATCAGCACCCCGAAGACTACAACTGGTGAAATTTTAATTTTTGCCTTAACTTCCCCTTTAATTATTTTACGACTCCCTGGTCAAGACTCAGACAAGAGTGTCGAGTTGACTCGACTGCGCCTGGGAACTACCCACTACCCAGTACCGGATCGTATCATGACTGGATGTAGATAGCAGTGCACGTAATCAGGTTGCCTATTTTTGGTCGGGATTTCATTGACAGCAACATTGTTGAAAAATGTCAAAGAGCATCAGAGCTGTGTGAAGGAATTAGTTTGACGAGGCATAAACTTGCCACGGCAGCATGCAGCTGGTATGCTTTATTGAACTCCGCCAACTTTTGCAGGTTTCCTGCAAACTATTCATCAACCAATAATATTATTATTATAATTATTTTAAAGTAAATCGAGCCAGTTTGCGCTGAGCGTCTCTGACTCGCCAAAGTTAGTTACCTTGCGTTTCTATTACTAGTAGATCTACCCTACTAGCTGAAATGGCAACAGCACCTGATCGGCCTAAAGAAGTGGATGTTATGAATGGACCAAGATTTGCGGAGCAGGTCGCTATTGTTACCGGGGGTGCTGATGGAATAGGCAAGGGCATAGCGAGACGATTGGTGTTGGAAGGCTGTAGAGTGGCCCTGTTTGATATCAACCCAGCCAACTGCCAGAGCACAGCTACAGAGCTCCAGGAGGAGGCACTGAGGCAAGGGAAACAACCGGGTCCGGGAATTTCTGAAGTGAGCGGAGACCTAAACCAAACTGCTAGCCAAGCTGCATCATCAGTCGGCATGGTAACGTGGCACGTTGTGGATGTTACCAGTGAAGATGAGCTACGTAACGCAGTGCAGACGGTCGTGGAGAAATGGGGCAGACTCGATATTGCCGTGAACTGCGCCGGTATTCTGGGACCAAATGGAATGAAAATTGCTGATGTTTCAGTGGGCGGATTTGACCTTGTCCATAGGAGTAAGTAATACGCATTTACTATGTTGTTGGTGAGTTGCTGCCGAGTTGGGTATGGAACTTGGTTGCATCATGAATCCAAGTATGGAACTAACTTGGTTGCATCATGAACCCACGCATCGTGGAAATCCGTCCACCAAAACATTAAATTGGTAATAATGACCCGTTCCTGTGTCTTCTCATGTGTTGCAGTCAATATGACAGGCAGCTTCCTGTTAACCAAACACTGTATTCCACACATGTTGGAACACAACTATGGACGCGTCCTACTCGTGGCATCCTTGTCGGGGAAAATTGTGAGTGTATAGATTCCTAGGACTTAGGACAATATGTATGCACTGTGATAATTATATACACGTCCATCTCAACCCACTGCCATTGCTGCCTATGTGGTTCCACTGAAAAAAATGTGCACGGGTTTGCGTACAGGGTGGGTCAAGAACCACCGTTCCGCTTCCGTGGGACGCCACCATGTCGTGATCAGGCGTATGGTGCGGCTCCTGAACGGTGGGGGAGGGGGGGGGGGGTAGATCAGATCCACCAACTCACTAAAGGACAAGTAATATGGATGATAGCCATGCAGGTTGGACATCACTTCTTCATCCTGCGTCTGTATCAACTGTCTCCGCTGACTGTGTCTGAACGTACGGTAAACCCAAAGCAATCATCCATGGTATATACACAACCACACATAAATAGTATACCCTCATTAAACATCCACCCACCCACCAATCTACCCATACATACATACATGCATACATACATACATACATACATACATACAGATACCGTACACACAGTCAACCTCATGCAGAACAACCTCGGGTATAATAACATCTTCCGAACAACAACACAATCTTCAGACCAAATAAACATGACTACATACTTTCAACCTCACAAACACACGTGACAACTCACAAATAACGACACTTTTCTCATGCACGATTGAGGGTGGTTATTCGCAGGGTCGACTGTACGTATATGTACATGCATACACATGCAGCGAAGAAAGCCGGGCTAGTTGATCATTCCTTATCATACACATTGTATAGAATGGTGTCTCAAGATGAATTCTCTCCTCTGTCAATGTGCAGAAATTGCATTCCCGATTGCTTCTGGTGATCGATTGTTTGTTTACTGGAAAGATTTTCTCTTCTTGTTTTTTTCTTCTTTTCTACTACTAGGGTAATCCAGGCCAGGCTGCCTACAGCTCAAGCAAAGCAGCTGTTATTGGACTTGCTGAGTCTGTTGGTAAGATCAACATCATAATAAACTCACATTCTATAGGAGGCTGGGCATAGTTTCGTAGAAGCCGATGTGATGGTCCGAGTTTCTAGTGCCTAAATCAGATTGGTATTCAACCCGAATATTTCTATGTCTCCCGATACAAGTACAGGCTAGTGTGCAAATGCCCATCTTCGAAGTCAGGCTCCGAAACAAGAATCTAGACTAGCCAAGGGAGCTTTTATGCAAGCAAGTACAAGTGTGCGAGGTGGATCAGAATTTCACTTTACCTCATTCTTCCTGTAATAATTAGACTTATCTGTGCACTGACACTTGACTGGTGACTCACGGCTGACGGCTAAAGTACACAAGAAGCACGTCGAACATTCCACTTGCGGGTAAACCTTCAAGAAAGCAATACTGCTTCAAGGCATTCAAACCTCATCAGCTGAGCCTGAGTTGGCAAAGAAATCTGTTTGTTGAGCACTACACTATATTAGCCCTCTTGCAGCCCACTGAATCATCACCAGCGACACCAACTTACAATGACGCTCCATTTCCAGCGCGACCAAGGCGTCATGCATGATCATCAGGCTGCAGCATGAAATCCATGCCGCCCATGGAGTTGTGAACAGACAGTGAGGGTCAATGACCTTTCACAAGTCTATCACGTCGAAGCATCTAGTCACATGCCTGCGTGAGGGACGACAGTATGAACAAAGATGTTGCGACATTGGCGGTAGTCTTTGAGAAATTTTCCAGAGCTGTGTAATGTAGTCCTCTGAGCACGTGCAGATTTCATCAGTCTAGCCTCAAACACTCAACTGGTGTGGCGTGAATTTCCCAGAACACCTTGCAATGAGCAGTGAGTGGCAGTGTATTGCACTGAGGTTTGGTGAGTGGAAGGGTAAACGTTCTTCTCGTGTGCTTTAGACAGCAGTTACGAGTCTGTCAGGTCGTGAGTCTGTGAAGTCTCAGCGGGCGGGCCGAAAGCATGAGCTCTGACAGTAGTAGTACCTTCTTCAAATATCACCACCGAAACCGCACTTAGTCAGTGACTCACACAGAGACATGTTGTTTTGTTTTTGTTCTTGTTCTTGTGTTGCTTGCGTAGGTAAAGAATATGCTGATACGGGCATAACAGTCAACAGTCTCTCTCCAGCCACCATATATACACAGCTGGTGGCCAACATGCATCCCAATCAGGTCAAGTACAACACCGAGAGAATACCAATGAAAAGGTAACGCACTCATCCACATTGTATTCGCACCACATGTCCTGCACGTTGTTGATGATGCCACTATGTCTATGTGTAGTTGCAGGGTGAAGAGATAGGGCCTCAAGATTCATGCAGTGATGCATGTTACCGTAAATCTCAGTCACTCCCATTGCTTCCATGTTGTGCTGTTATAATTTTTTTGTTATAATGAGGCGAATCAGGGCATATGTAGCCTGGTTGTTCAAATTGCAACATGCACCACACTACACATACCTCACCATATGAAGCACTGAATAATACTTCAACTTCAATTATTTACTGAATCTCTTGACAGCCACCTGTTTTTGACCATGTTAGGTCTCACCAGGGGAGTTCAGAGTAACTACATGTACAGTCCATTTCAAAAATATAGACGCATGGTATTTTTGAAATATTTCAAATTTGGCTGGAGCTTCTTGAGAAATGTTTTCGGAATATTGCTCAGGTCCTTCTTCCAAATACTCTCATATCGATTTTTTTTAAGTGATCAGACAACAAACACCCAATTTCGAATTTTTTGTGCATAAAGTGATCAAAGATTTTATGTGGTATAGATGCTGGCCTAACGGTTTTTTGAAATCACGCGTCTACATTTTTGAAACGCACTGTAGGCAAACAGATTGCAATGAAGTCAAATTCATTCTAATATTCTATTCATAGGATTTCACTGCCGTATCCACGTGCAATAGCACATGGCATATGAAACAGATTTTGCACTCGTACAGATTAATCCCTCGTCTTTCTTCTACTGATCTGAACGTTGTGTATGGCTATGCAGGTGTGGCACTGTTGAGGAGGCAGCTTCAATGGCCTGTTTCATTGTGTCCAAGGAGGCATCATTCAACACCGGCTTCAATTTCGACTTGAGCGGAGGCAGAGCGCCGTTTTAGCCACCCGGTTTCAACCCATTACAAACATGAGTAGATCTTGCAAACAAAAATTCAGCAAATCCATTCTATACATATTTGATTAGGTATGAAAAGATCTATTATTTTTCAGAGTCAAATGTCATGGCATTAGCCCACTCTCATCATGACTTTGGTACTATAATGTAGTACAGCCTCAGTAGCTTGTTGGCAGAGAATCCCTCAGTGTAATCCAACATTTTATCAATCCACTCTGTACAAACTTGATTGGAAATTTTATGGAAAATTCCCTAATTTAATATTAGAGTCAATCTCAAAGTCAAATAGGCATGGCATTATCCCACACCCATTGTGAAGTTGGATCCTGTACATGTACTGTGGTATATGCGAGAGTTCTGCCCATTGAACAAAAATCGACATTAATCCATAGATAATGAGGGCATCATCACCCCACAACTGACTACAATTACTATAGTGTAGTTTGAATTGTGTAGATCTACACCCTTACTGTGGAACAAAAAAAATTATATTGGCACACACGGTTTCGAGGACTGGCTATTTTAAATAAGAACAAGAAATTCAGACATAAACCTGTGCGCTAGGAATGATAATTATGGATAAATTCCAGTTGCAAAAGGAAACTTGTTGCGGAAAAATAAGGTTCCTTGGGGTTTTTCGCACAGTAATTCTAAAAAATGGTTAATTTAAAAACACCTATATATTCGCTCAATACCAAGCTATACCAAGTTACCAAGTAGTGATCAAGTGAATGATATCAAGAATGCACAATGGAATAAATAAAACCGGACGGTGAACACAAAGTGAATCAATTTTAATGAAGCAATAAAAAGAACTAACTCTGCCGTCATCATCATCATGCATCAACGAAGTCAAATGTTTTCCATAATCGATTTTCATGTCACTATCATCAGCGGAATATCGTGACTGAATTGAAGGCTAGCCAAGCAAAAACAATGACAAACTGAATCAATGAATGTTTCCTGACTGCAACTTAAAATAATGTGTAGAATGTATTGTCAGCGCTTCCGCCAGTTCCAGCCTGTCTTTTTCTTCTTTGGCTCCACCGGCTTTTGTCCCTTCATGACAGTCAGTGATGCCTTTCTCTTCAGTGTTCCTGTCCGCCCTTCACCCCTGCGTTTACCCCAGCCGGCTGTGCCCTGATACCCAGCCACGCCGGCCAAGTTACGGCGAGCATTCTGTCATCGTATGAACACAACACAACACACCTAGGGTTAGAGAACACCAACATGCTACCCCTGACCTGCATTGTGTTTTCTGTCTCTCCATGCACTAGGAAATCTGTAGTGCACTGCAATAATTATCGTACTATCAGCAGGCCTGCCGGAACCGGTCCGGTTGGTCAGGTCATCGCCGGACCAACTTTGTTTTGGACACCAATGTGTGTTTACCGCTGAGGACTCTGAGGTCATGTTTACCCGTCATATCCGCATACGAGACTCATGTGACAAGTAATGAATTCCAGACAGACTATGGTATGACCAGACCAATCAAAAGTGCTTCCAGTAGTCCTGATCAGTCACTTGTGTTACAAAGGGTACACCTCCAACTGATTATGGTCATGCATTGTACATAATCATTATGTAGTTTGTGCTACTAAGTTATTTTGGGACACGCTCACCTCTAACTCAGATACAGGCTTGGTCTTGTAGCTGTGTGGTGTGAGTAATCTAGCTCCATCCTTCAGGTCCTCATCGCTGCACGATGCAAGAAGCAAACGAATAATTTGATTATCTGCTTCAAAGAGTACAATTTTATCACAATTGTGCTCTGATAAAGGTTCTCTTCTGCATGCCGCCGTACAGACAAACAGAATTTAACTCGGATGGTGAGCCAATTAAAATGGTGAAAAAGGAGGACAAAATGTTACGAGCTATGACTAACTGTCCACCAACGTAACCAGATCTTATACAGTCAGCGAGTGGGTGTAGTGACTGTATAAGATCTGGTTACGTTGGTGGACAGTTAGTCATAACTCGTAACATTTCGTCCTCGTTTTTCACCATAGACAAACAGAAGTACGTAATATTAGTGAAAATAACTATAACGATATGACTGTATGCTAAACACGGGGTATGTGTATGATGTACATGTACATAATACGTATGATGCACGCATGTATGATGAACACATGTATGATGCACATGCATGTGCATGGTGCACACATGTATGTTCGTAAGGCTCAGCTCTGCATCTACATACCGGTAGTAGTTGACGAAATCTTGCAGATCGTTGTGAACATGTTGCGTTCCAAGTAACCGTACTTTGGCTCCGGGCAGAGTCTCAATGATGAAATGTCTGATCCGCTCATGCCACGTCACTGAGCATGAGTAGCCAAACCTGCATGCAGCCAACATGCAACATGTGAACATAACATTAGACAGATTTAATCAATTTTCTGTAGTTGTTTGCAGCGCATTCCAGCAGGTATTTACTCACCAACTCGCATTCCCTGTTCATAGTCACAGCATACTACAGAGGAGAAAATATCACTCAACACCACAGGCACTATCATAGTATGTACTGGGGTATTACTGGCCCGTGACACTTACAGGTGGGCTACACACCTTTCCCACCACCAGAACTCCAGCAGAAAGCTAACACTTCACAGGAACCCACAATATCTCCCTGCAAGTGATCTCTCTACAGGAGCAAGCTCACGTTTTCACTACAGCCACAGGCTTTACAGTTAACAGGCTCTCCGGCATATTTCAAGTACAAACTTTACCTTGATTCGCTTGTCCGCACGAGAAACGTTCCACTGGTATGCGGCTTCAGCATTTCCTGGTCAAACACGCACAGAAATGGTTGCGGGTATAAGGTTGCAGCCTGGTCACAAACACCACCTGGCATTCAAACAGCCATCATTTCAGCTATCCTATTCTCAGGATGCTTTTTCCATCTACATTATACTTCATTCAGCATTCAGCATAAGCGAAGCCATGGATGCAGCATATTGCTGTTACACTTCAATGTGGAAAAGGGTTCAACTGAGTAACATTGTTTCAAATGATGAAGCATACCTCGGCTTTAGCCCGAGAGATCAATCCACAGAACCACTCAGCAGAGATGTGCAGTGCCACCCGATCACCCAATGCACCGTCACTGTATGGGCGTTGATATGTAGACTCCGTGCTAGATGACGATGGTGAGCCAATCCTTGGCGTGCAGATCTCATCTAGCTCGTCTCCGCTACTGCTAGCTCCAAACCTATCCTCGTGATATCTGACCAGTAGCAGCAACAACAAGAGAACATTGTGTGATCAAAAGAGTGATTCATCCATCACTCTCACATATTCTGCAGCCGGATACGCTTAGAACAAACACACATTCAACTGCTCTAGAAATGCTCCAGCCCACTGAACATGGTCTACTAGTACACTGTAGCCCCCTGAAGCTGGTCAAGCCAACTGAACACTGGCCCAGCAATTACAGTACATAGCCATGCAATCAGCAACTAGTTGTACTACTTTGAGCCTCCTACTACACTTTAACCGGGATCATGTTTTACTGAAAGGTGGTCCAGCAATAGCGGTCTGGCCAGCTGGTCAGCTGATCAGGCTGCTATGGCCCTGTTTCGAATGTATTCATTACTACCAATTACAAGTGTACAATGCTACACGCTGGTCTTTATATTCTACATAAAAATCAGCATAACAGTACATGCACGTTCGCAAGTTGAAACTCACAAGGATTGACTAGAGCTAGTAGGAGCAGACATGGCTAGTTCCAAGAGAGTCGGATCAGGCTTCTGCTGCTCACGGAACCGCTGCATGGCTGGATGATTCTCGGCCATCTTCTGTCTGATCTTGATATTCCGAAGCAAGAAACCCGTCGGGGATCGAAACGTATTGGACATGGCCGCCTGTGATTGCTTCTTGGCACCTTTCATCTTGCTCAGTTTTGATGGCGAGCGTTTCAGTGGATCTCTTGGGGCTACGGTTGGCCGTCGGTACATATCACCAGTTTGTCCTAGCTTCGAAGGGTTGACGTATTTCATACCATTTGAAGTTGGCATAACGTAGGGCGAATCTCTCCCATTGGCGAGTGGACTGGAGGTTTGGGACTTGGGTGTCACTTTGCGTGTTGTTATCATCGGTAGAACAGGCACAGCACCAAGGGGAGCTCGACTTGGTCTTATTCCATAGATATCTTCCTCGCTGTCCTCGTTACTCGATGATCTACCACTGGACTCCGGAGTGCTGTATATCACTGACGGTCTGGCTGCAGCTGCTGCAGACATCGGGGTAGAAGCAGAAGATGTCGGAGTTGCTGGTTTGGCTGGAGAGGTTTCCGGAGACTTTGTCCAGTCCGGCTGAGGTGGTCGATCCGGTTTGCTCTTTTTCTTCGCTTTGTCCTAAAATGAGAGAGAGAGAGAGAGAGAGAGAGAGAGAGAGAAAGAGATAGAGAGAGAGAGAGATAAAGAGAGAGAGAGAGAGAGAGAGAGAGAGAGAGAGAGAGAGAGAGAGAGAGAGAGAGAGGGATAGATAGAGAGAGAGAGAGAGAGAGAGAGAGAGAGAGAGAAATATAGTACTTAAAGCAGTGTTCACTGTATCACCACTGTCTGCTGAATTTATCAAAAAGTTACCCTCTTGTACTAGACGTGATTGTGACCAAGGACATGTACATACATATAGACTCTATAGAGTACCTTTATGTAGCATTTGGCACTTACCTTCTTTGCTTTCTGCTTTGCATCTTGCTTTGCCTTCAATTCTGCAGCTGCCTCAATCTTTCTGAGGTGTTCTCTTTGTCTGTTGTTGTCCTGCTCATTCAGTGCCATCAAAGTGGCACTCGTGTCTGAGAAAAGACAGAGAACGAAACAACATCAGTTAAATAGTACTGGCAGAATTAAACCACGTTGCTTCCTCTTTGCATGGTCCATGTCTTTCACAACGTTTCCATACATTTATGGCCACGGGGAAACCAAAACACACTGCAAAGACTCACTTCTGTTAGAGAGGGATACATGACGGCAGAAGTCGCTGACAACTCTTGCCTCCCGATCACCAACAGCCTTCAACTTCCTGTACCTGTGAAGAAGCCACACGAGCAGGAAGATGTGATGAATACCAGTATGCTACGTCCTAAAAACAAATGCATCAACAACAATGCGTTAACATACCCCAGAAAACCACACTCACAGACTGCACTCAGGAAAGAAAATTGCATGTAATACAAGGCATTTTTAATTCTTTTTAATCCAGCCCGGCCTTGCGAGCCGTATAAATGATAGGAGCAGTATGTTATATTCCCCAGGACATTCCAAATCAGAGTTTACTTCGAGTAGCTTGTATTACACAGATCCACAATCCTACTTCATAGTGCTTACTCTCTCCTGGCTAGGTATCCACGCACAAAACGTTGAACAGCTGCGGCATGCCGATGCTGCTGTTGCAGTGTTTCTCGCAGCTGATCCACGTGGTAGTATTTGAGGAAGACCTTGTTCTTGCCAATCTGCCAGCCGGTGACTGCTGCTCGGTCCAGGACAATAGCACAGTTGGCTGCCACAGGTTTTACCTGGGTTGGTGGGGTAGGTTGTGAAGAGGCAAAAAGCAACATACAGTATAAAAAACTGGTTTTGCTGACTGTTAAATGAATCGAAGTAGCAAACAGGATTCGCCGCAAAAATATTGGAGGTCTGGAATCGGAAAGTCCCTTCAAGGACAATGAAAGTAAGAAAGTCACTGTATTCTCTCTGTGATGATTTACCAAAGCCAATGAGATGGACGTTGCAGTACCAACAACTCACCTTGACGTTGAAGGGATGACCAATCTGGCTGTACACTGAGAGAAATTCACCGAAGGACGGCCGATACGCGTAGCCTTCACGTCGGATTCGAACCGTTTCCAAAACTCCAGTGTACCTTTTGGCGGAAACCAAACAGATTAACAAGTCAAAGTAAGCAGCACCCTTACCGACTATTCACAGGCATGATGCCATGAAGGGTCGGGATTAGGAGCACACAGTACCCCCATCTATACGGTGATGGCAGCCTCGATGTGAGATATATTATTGCAATGTATGTTTTCCTACCATGCACCAAGGTGGCTGGCTTCCTTCTTACATGTAACCATGTGTTCACTTTGTGTGGACGAAATGCTCTTGATACATGCAACGATGGCCACCGAAGAAGAGGGCAACTCCGTGAGCAGTATTATGATTATAAATAAGTACTTCAATACACACACAGAACGCGAATCACTGATATTAACTTGGTAGCTAATAGTTACCTCAACTGATCAAGGACATACGTCTGGTCAAAGTCATGTGGCATTTTGTGGCGGTTCGGCTTGATACAGCTACAAAAGATGTGAACAGAACGGTATAAATGAGTACACAGAGTGACTTTCACTGGGACATGGCAAAATAATCTCAGCAAATTTGTATCAGCTAACGCCATGCAAAGGCGAAGGTGTACATGTACACAGCACATGTCGGAGTATACATTTCTCCCTCGGCTCGTGTTGCTGCTACTGCTGCTTCTGTTGATGCTACTAAAATGTGCTTTCTGCTGCTCCTGCAAAGGTCCTCCTGAAGTGCTACCATGCTGATGGTTAGTTGTGATGCAGCATATTGTAATAATGCTTTGTCGAAATCACTGTAAAATGCTATTATTGCCTATCACTCTTACCGAATGAAATGTGGCGATGCATTACGCAGCTTTCCCATCAAACGCTGGAGAGACTGACGGAACTGACCGCCAACGGTCACCTACCAACAGCGCAAGTGAATCAGAATGTACAATGTAGTGCTAAACGACGAGTGCAAGGTAGAGAATTCGAGTTCAACAGTGTCAGTCTTGGCAGCATACAAACCCACACCCACTCACAACAGCACATAGCAAGCAAGAGTTTCGTGAGCAGAGATTCTCTACTGACCTTCCCGTTCTTGGCACGTCCACCGCCTGGTCCAGCAGCAGCGGGTGCAGTGGAGATCTGCGCATTGTGCACATAAGCCTTGCTGGTGCGCCGGTTGTGACCACCTCCTTGCACGCGAGTCGAGTGTTTTCTGTTCAAATGCAAAGACACCTCCCTGTAATGGGAGGGGTGCAGTCAGTACAAGGTTGCTTCCAAACAAGGACATGCAACATTTCCCGAGTATCGCCCATTAATTCAGAACACAATGATTTCAACTTTAACTTGATGCCATCGCTGTGTATAGAGGGATGTAGTATGTGTGTGAATCTGGAATGCCAGTCTAGGCTGACCTCTTTCTGACAAGGGTTGATGCTCTCCCTAGGGCTTCATCCAAGAAAAGCGTCTTCAGCTGCAGATCAAACAAGAGGTACAAGAAAACAAGATTCTAGCTATTGATGAACAAGTTGAGCAATGATACTAACCTCCTCATTTCAAAGCCATCTTATACTGGATTGTTTCAGAATTTCACCCTCTCATGCTAGAAGAGCACTATTTCAATTCCAGTACATACCAAACTGAACTGGGATGTCTTGAGTATCTCCAGGACATTCTCTGGCAATGTGTCTCGATTCTTCTCCAGAAATCCAGCAACTTGGTATGTCACCTGGATGAGGAGAAAAGAGAGAGAGTGTATGTGAGTGAGTGAGAGAGAGAGGGAGGGAGGAGAGAGAGAGATAGAGAGTGTGTGTGTGTGTGTGTGTGTGTGTGTGTGTGTGTGTGTGTGTGTGTGTGTGTGTGTGTGTGTGTGTGTGTGTGTGAGAGAGAGAGAGAGAGAGAGAGAGAGAGAGAGAGAGAGAGAGAGAGAGAGAGAGAGAGAGAGAGGAGGAGGAAGGGGGGGGGGGAGAGAAAGAGAGAGCCCAAGACAAAACACAATAAATGTCTAGAAAACAAAATGTCGATTCAGCTAGTGTTACTGATTGCAGATATTAATGAATATTTGATATATATTGTGTGCGAAGTGGAAAGAGATTAGGAAGGAGAGGACATTGACTAAATTGTCACCTGCAGTCAACATCACATACCATGAAAACATGAACAAGCCTGGAGTCGACATGACCAGTATTACCTTTCCAGCATAGTGCTTGACAAGGAACGCTTCAGACCGGCCCTTTGCCGCACCGTAAACCTGGTTCTTTGCAAACGTCTCATTGAGCTTGGACAGGAATGTCTGATCATCAGCCTAGTTCAACACATACAAATACAAACATGGAGAGCAGAAACGGTAGTCAGTACACAATGTACATACAGTTTATGAATTTCTAAATTTCAATGATTTTCTACAGTTCATTCTTACAAAATTGGCTCGCAACTACTTCCCCTTGGTGCCCGTCTGGCATATACAATAGCAGACATTGGGAAAATAACTGTACCTCAGTCCCGCATTGTGTGACTTGTGAAATTCTTCCTCGCCGCATTTGAGGCCGAACGGTCAAATGATAGGGAGTTCAAAATTCCTTCAGATGTAGAAGTAACAGAATTAGGACATGGCATAATGTATGGACAAAACAGGCCCGAACCCAGATTAAAGTGGGGTTTGAGCCTTAGTTTAGCCAAAATCAGGCGTTCAATAGCCAGGAGACTTTTCGATCTAAATGGACTATAGGGCACCCGCTGGCATGGACCAGTCCACAGGGGTTGTTGTGGATTGGCTGAGCGGCAAGCAATCCAGTGCATCACAAGGCGATTGCCATATCAGCAGCCTTTGGGGAATCCTTTAACAAAAAAATAAATGCAAACTCAAATAACAGTACCAGGGACCGATTCAAGCTCTTACCCGTGGAAACATGGACTGTTCGTCCAGCAGTGATAGCATTCCGCTGGGCTTCTGCAGGAATAGGCTAAGTATTGCAGAATTATCCTGGTAGTCAATGCTAGATGACTTCACACCCTCCTTCTTCAATTCATCCTGCGATGCAGCAAAGCAGAGCAACAACACAACCAAACGTAACATTCAAGCAATGAAAAATCTGCTTGCAGAAACAAACTATTTATCTCCATATACTCACTAGGGTTCCAACCAGGAGAAAAAGTACAGAGGTGGTGTCAGGGGAAGTAAACAGTTTTAAAACCATTTCCTCATTTCTTACTCTTAATTTTGTCTTGTCACACAAAATTTGACAAAACCAAAATATACAAGCACGCAGTGCACCCGAAACGATCACTTTGTGACCTCATATTTGTTGCGCGAACTGGAAATCCCACACACAAATCAAAAATGAGTACGAGTTGTCACATTGTCACAGGGCGCACCATGAGAGTACCTAGCCCTGTACTCTCCCCCCCCCCCCTCCCCGCCCTTGGCGAGAACCCTACTTATTCAAATACACAATGATGCATGTGGAGGGAAGGATGGAAGGAAGTTGATTTGTACCTTCTCCATCTGGAAGACGGTCTCGTTGAAGAGGTTTTGTAACTCCTCATTGGCAAGATTGATGCAAAACTGCTCGAAACTGTTCTGCTGGAAGTTTTCAAAGCCGAATATGTCCAAAATGCCTGAGGAAACAAAGACACAAAATTTCCAAAAGGATGAAAAGGTCTACTTCATACGGTAAAACTAACATCATTATTAACAACTTTCATTAAACGAAACTTGGGTAGACTTGTAACCCACTGACTGATCCGAATATGTACAGTCAACCTTTCGATGAAGAACATTCCTTTGGCTACGGCTAGTGTGGCTGAAGGGACTGTTGATGGCGCGCAGTAACAACATACTAGAACGTAGCACATACTCAAATCGGGCTTCGTTCTGGATTCTGTTGCAGCCGATTTTCATATTCACTGGATTCACTACGTCGGAGCATAAGGTTCCGCACTGAGACACACATCATACATTCATAAAAACACTGCCAGGATGCATTCTGATCCACTCAGTTTTTGGCGTACCTATTCTATTGCACTTTGCAGAGTCAGGATGTTCTGATGCCAGAACACCATTGATGAATGACACAATGAAGTTGAACAGACGGCCATAAATGGCCTTGGATGTTGCATCACGACAGTCAGCAGCTTTCTCCGGGCTGTAGCTGATAGTGATGATTTCACCTGGAAAGGGGAACACACACACACACACACTCACACACACACACACACACACACACACACACACACACACACACACACACACATACACACACACACACACATACACACATACACATGAATAAAACCACCAGCAAAACACCATCAGGGTCCACAGAGCAGGAACATACGGGAACCATCCGGCTCATAACTGCCACACATACTCTGTGGCAACAGTCTACCACATCTTGATGTCGTGGATAGTTGCCCAAAACACATTACAGAACAATAAAAAAGGAAGCAGTCTAGCGAGCGAGGAGATTTTGTCCTTAAATTCAATACAGACATTCCGTAACTCAGCTCAGAGAAATGCCGTCCATTCAATTGTACAAGGTCGGAATAGTAAAAACGTCCAGATTGGAAAATACACAACCTAGCTAGGCTGGAGTTGGAAATGCTATACTGTACGTGTTGGGTACACTGCCTGACAAGCAAGGATCTGTAAGCTTGCTGCATACGGTTCCAAAGCAGCATCTGTAAACACACAACAATATACCTACAAGAAAGTCGCAAAACCATCTTACCTCGTGTGATGTTGGTGGAGACAGTGAGAGCTCTGCACAAAGAAGGAGCATCCAGACCCAGAGCTTTGGCAGCATCCACCACCTTCACGTTGCTCGGGCTCACAAACGCCGTCTCGCTGGTGCCAAATTCCTAGCAAAAGATACAGCACAGAGCATCAGACACCCTCAATATCTGACACACAATATCTGCTCTACGATGCAAACCACTGGACCATGGGTTGGGATCTGGCATTTTTGCACATGTACACAGGTACAGTGGAGTGCATCAAGTAGAAATGGGGGTAGGTAGACACAGAGCAGTTTTAGCTCCTCTACTTGGAGCGGCACTTCCATTCAAGACAAGGAGTGTGCAACATAACTACACACATTTGCCACTATACCATGGTGCTGACAGGAGATTTCAACAACTCTCACTGACTGCTCCATAGCTTCATGGGATATTAATCAAACAAACGGAATACTGACTCACCAGATCACCAATGAGGAGAATGCCAGCAAGCAACTGGAACACTTCCATAGCATGCTCCATAGACATTTCCACTGCATCCATACAGTCCCTCATACAACGAAATCCTTCACTGTAACATGTAAAATGAGAAACAACCAGATAGATACAGCACTTCAGTATTAATTTTCTCTGGTGCAGCAAGATTCAAGCAGGAACAAGTAAGAAATGGCAAGCCATTATCGAACCTCTTTGCTAAATAATGTAGAACGAGATACAAGGACAATTGAAACAAGTCATAGAATTCGTTCATGAGACGGATGTACCAGACTAGGCAAGCCTGGGTGCATTATAACTACCACAGTGTGAGCAGTTGATCATTTCACAGTCAGATACGGGTTGCTAGGGCATTCTCTAGTTGTGCCTACCCAATACAAAGCTTGCTCAGGATATCCCAAACCAGCCAACTTGTGTCTACAGCTTACTCTCACGCAGTCAATATGTTCACTTCTAAAAGTAGAAGTCACTAAATACTTACAGGCACTCTTCAGATCTGCAATACGCGTCACATTCCGCATCCTTGGCAAGATATCGGTGCTGTGAGGGTCTCTGTAATATGAGAAGGAAATGAAGGCAAGGAGAAGTAAAAGTACTTTGGCTATTTAGTATTAAAAGGGAACAGTAACTTTTGATACATGAACGTCGACGGTGAGAAAGTATCAGCAAGTATCAACTCGAAAACGAATCTACAAAGACTACAATACTCCCAGCGCACGCCTTGCCAGATTCCTTCAGAGGTAAGTTCAAGTGAGTAGAAGTGGTCAGGCTTTCTGCAGCTTTATACAGGGAAGTCTTGTGAACCAGACTTTATCTTTCTCAATCACGGTGCAATTTTCGAACTCATTTCAATCATACGGTCAATTCCTTGTAAAAAAAACCCAGTGGTTTCTGAACCTGTGGCAAGAATGCACCATGTGAACAATGAGACCAAGGGAGGAAATAGTGGTAGGAAAATCCAGTTTCGGACAAGTTATTAACAAGCTGAATAGGGGGACAGTGTACAGTGGATTCAGTTGATTTACCTTTAGATGCACTTTCCCCAGAAGATCTTCAGGCAGTCCGGCAAACATGTAGTAGAAGACGTGGAAGTTGCGCTCCTGTGACACACACATTCGACAAACACATTGTCCGTTTTTTCAGAGTGTAAACCACACTTCTACTTCGGAAAACAAGCCTCAAACCCGCCCTGTGGCCGACGCCTACAACGTGGACTTAGCACAAACAAGCAAGACCTGAATTTCAGAAATTTCCTCCAACATCCGGGTTGCAGTTTGGTCCGGCTAGTATGGATGACGCCCCTACCCAGAAATGTGGTTATTATACGATTACCCATACTGGGTGCATGTGTACGCAAATGCATGCAAACGTGCCTGTGTGTGTGTGTGTGTGTGTTGGTGGTGGAAAAACCCATTACGAGAAATAATGCAGTGGTGATAAGTGAAATCCGACCTCACGCACGTGAATACCCCCCCCCCCCCCCCCCCCCCCCGGCTATACTGCCACCAAAACACTGCCATCAGGGATTTGTGAAGTGTGCATGGCCGTATTTCACGATGTATTTAATGTGCTACCATTATGCCACCTTTGAACCAGTCTGCAGCCAGTGCAGGTGACCCACGACACACAACAGTCGTGACTATAGTGTGTTTCAAAAGTATAGACCTCTAGACTAATTCAAATTTGGTTTGAGCTTTTTGAGAAATTTCTTCAGGATATTGCTAAGGCAGCTTCCGCAATTTTTCTCATAATAATAATTATTTTTATGTGATGACTTTCGGAAAATTTATGCACAAAGTGATCACGGATTTTATGCGGCATGTGCTGCCCTAACGGGTTTTTTAAACCAGAGGCAGAGGTCTGGACTTTCGAAAAGCACTATAGTGACCGAAATACATGCAATCATCAGCATACCGTACGCACTTCATGCAACCATGTATTCTTAGGTAGATAGACAAGCTTACCCCGGCTCCTTGCCTGGCCACACGAGATTTTTCCAAGAGATACTGGTTGACGGTCGCACCCACCACATAGCCACGCTGTTTGTCAAAGAGAAGGCTAAGGTACTTGCCAAACCTGCTGCTGTTGTTGTTCATCGTGGTCCGGGCATTGCCAAATGCTTCCAGCAGTGGATTCACCTGAAAATGGAGCACCACAAGGGGCAACAAAAGATCAACCTTGGGAAATTATTCCTGATTTTAATTTAAAACTAGATGTCCTATAGAAGAAGGTAAGCAGCAGCATTCAGCTGTTGAAAAATCTGTGGTGGTGGTGGTGGTGCCGGGTGGTGTAGTCAATGTACTAGTATGTCCAGGAACTCAGTGTCTACAGACATCTTGCTTTCCTTATGCTGTGCTGTGGCAATGTGTGGAGGTCGGCCAGAGAGCGCAGCGCTTGTTGCAGGAAAATGAACTAAGGATGGCCAAACTCAGCCACTTACTTTTATTCTTGTAGAAATTTCTCCAGTGTCATGTAGCAAAATATTCACTAGTTTGAGGGCCCTGATAGACCCATGGTAATCTTCATCTCCTAAAGAGCTTTACTTTAGTGACGCGTGCATCCATCGCATATACTGTATAGCTCTTGCAAACAACCTCCAACACTATATACAAACAGTCCTTCACTACACCACACGGCTCGAATTCATCCGCATTTTCACCCAGGAGGGCATCATCAGGGGGGATGTATACCGTATACGACCAAAATAACAACTGGATCCTCTGCACATGTGTACATGCATACACATACTTGCACAATCTTGGACTCCAGACTTGTCGATCCATAGGTTGCTGACCGGCTCAACTCCATGATCTAATGGTACCAAAGGATGAGAAGCACCAAACAAAGCGGACAATAAACACACATCTCGGTTACACCTGTGTACATGACAATCACACTACATGTACATGTATAATACTAGCATGCAGACATGAGTAGAACAGTCCTGGGTAAGGTCAACCAAAACCTTGGACCATTCAGACTACATGTAGAGTAATGCCATCAAAACAGTGCTCATCCAGGACTTTGATGTCACTGATTATCAAAAGCAGACTCGACTTCCAATCAGCTAGCACTGAGAGTCTGTAGGCCTGTGATATGTGGACAGTACATGTTTGATACCTAGTCCTTGTCACAACATACATACATGTAGTCTTGTTCACAATGAATACTAGTACTATATACAGCACTGCCGGGTGCCGAAGAACAAAAACAGGCTAGAATTAGTTTACCAGGTGCAGGACAACATTATGCATATGCCTATACGGTGGCTCAACTACAGACAGTTGTGCATGAAAAAATTGTGCGGCAGGCTAGCTTGTTCTTATTGATAAGAATGTGATAGGCTACGCCTCTGACTAACCAGTTCTGTCCCACCAGAGAGAACTATCATTATACTACCAAAACAACTGCTACCCACTGAGTAAACAATACCAGGGGGCATAGCCAAGATAGTGATCAAGGGGGTGCCACGACTCTCCCCACACGAAAGTACATGCACTCAAGTGTTTGATCCGCAATACGCCGTGGGGGGGGGGGGAGCAAAATTAGCCCCACATTTGACGCTGAAAAAAACAATCAGTGAATGGCAAACCTCCCTGCTTCCAACTAATGTCAAGTAATGATGAGCTTAGCCCTGGCCTGGATACTGTAAAAGCAGAAATTTTCGGTGGTGTTTTATTTTCGGTAACTTCGGTGCCGACAATTTTTACCGAAAATAAAACGCACCGAAATTTTCGGTACAACCGATAATGTATACATGTAGTACTAGTACACCTACCTGGAGAACGGGTTTTACCGAAAATTTCCCGCTACCGAACCGCCGATTTTGGCGAATACCGAAAATATTACACCACCGAAAATTTCTGCTTTTACAGTACTGCTTTCTCCAGAATTATCACACTCTCCATCGAACTTTCAAAGTCAGAGTTCTCCACCCCAGTTTTCTCTTCATCGTGTTTGATAGTGCAGTAAGGCATCCTTGATCAAACATACCCCATATTTCCCACAAAACCCCAAACTCCACTTCAACGTTACTTTCACCGTTCTGCTGCTGTACCGACACTTGAAACACATGAAAGAATCTTCTTTGCTTTTCTACAACCTCCAATGCGAACACTCAACCGTCAGAGGGGGGGGGGGGGGGGGGGGCTTCACAACTTATTTTCATGTACTTGAATTGTGTGCCATGCACTACAAAATGTAGATCAGCTTGCCAGAATTTGACAAGACATCATTATAATCATGATGTAGTAATGTGGGGCTTTTTTCAGCCAATCATACTGACTGAGTTTTCGGACTGTGGGTGGATGGTGGGTGGTGCAGCTGTTTTCTCCCCCCCCCCCCCCCCCCCCGAAGTTAACCACTTCCAAAATTATTTTTATCTATAGCATTGGTTCCTGGAACCCAATGAAGTGTGAACACACATTCAGAATGTAGAAAAATTAGTTTCAAAGCTTGTCATGTTTGAAAGAAAGCAACTATGAATGAAATGAAATACATGAAAATATGACAAGACTTTCAGTGCCAGGACTACTACTGGTACTGCCGTACTGGCCAAGTTATTACCACGCAAACCAAAACAAAAACCAACCACGTGGCTGTCCTCATGGTACACTGGCTCACCTGGCGAATGAGGAATTTTGAGGATTCCGTTTTTCCCGCCCCGCTTTCACCGCTGATCACGCACACTTGATCGCGGCCCAAAGCCACCATGTCGCTGTAAACTCGCCGCGCCACTGCATAAATGTGCGGCACTTCTTTCCGCCTCTCTTCCCCATCGGGATGGTGTTTGTACGCCAGCTGTGAGTTGGGTCCATAGATCGTTAGCGGTCGAAAGGGATTGAGAGCAATGAGAATGTCGCCGACATTGGTATAAACGAGTGAGGCATCGTAGCGGTATCGCAGCGCACTCTGCAAGGAGTGCTCGTCTAACACAGCCAACTCAGTGAGATTGTGTAGACTCCTGTAGTACTCAACATCTCGCTCGGCCATGCCAGCTTGAACAGCAAGGCACACAACTCATAAAAATAGACTAATGTTGCCTTTCTCTCTTCTCCCTCGCGAACAGAAAACCAAGCCAGTCGCCAGAGCTAGAGAAGCTCAGCTGCCTTGTCCTGTGCCTGTTTCACCTCTCATCGGTGCCTGAATAACATAATGACTTCCTGTCCTTCAGAGGTGCCGGCCTCAAGCACGGTCGGTAGCACGAGAAAATAATTTCACTCAACACAGCCAAAGTGAAATCTCACCATTACTCGGCATTAGGCATTACGCATTTTCGATAGCTGTCACACCACAAGCCTAGCCACTGATCACTTTTTTTCTTTCAATCCCGGGATCCCATGAAGATCTTCCAAAAGTTCAAGATCCTTCTGTGCCCAGGGCCTGGGGTAGGGCCAGCCAAACACAATCGTCACTTGCAGAAAATCATTGTGCTGGCCAATGAAAACAGATTCAGTGAGTCACTGATTCAGTGATTGCCCTGATTGATGAAGAGAAATCGGTGTAACACTTGCCAGCTACAACGCGTGGTCGAGACTTGAGAGTGCAAGTACAAATGGATGAAAAGCAGACAGCGGTTGGGTCGCGGTCACGCTCACACTTTTCACACAGCTCTAGCACTCAGACTCTCAATGTTAGCACTTAGCTGCATGGCACTGATGCAGAGATGGTTCAGGCTGAATTATTTGGGGCTCTATCCTCGGCTCGTACAGATACTTCACGTCGCATTCGTTCCATTCTAAGCCGGCGAACACAGCTGATCGTGCCCGTGCTTTCTCAGCAGAATGCGGGCTCACCTAGCCGTGATCCGTGTCGCGATGGCCAAAACACCGCCGTGGTGATGATTGATAGTCTCCGAGCCTCCGAGGCCTGCTAGCAGCGGAGGTGATGTGATGTGGGGCAAAGCATGACACATCCGAAGACAACTGATAATTTTGTTGTGGCTGGACGCCATAAAAAGCAATGCCATGCGCCACTGCCCACTGCAAATGAACAGCAGGGCTGGTCCACTGCTTCAGTGCCAGCGGTTTACTGTTGCTGTCACGAATCTAGGCTCGTAGTGCTGCTGTCAGTATTCTCTACTGTACCTCACAACATCGCCTCGATGTCTTAGACCGGTATCATTGTCACCCAGAGTGTTCTTAGATGCTAAGTAAAGTGTGTCTTTGCATTGCTGTCAATCCATGATGAACCAAACAGTTCCAACTGATACTTACTTCGTTCTTGGGTCTGCTTCCATATTCGTTGCTTGCGAACGTATTTAGTTGAAAAGGATGTCATCGTGGACTGGTGGTGGCGTTCAGTGGTGAGGTACAGGTAGGCTCAACTCGAGCTTCGAGGTATCATCGCAAACTGCTGTTGTAAAGGCATGGCTGCTCAGTGGCAGTGATGTTGCCAAGTGTATTGTTGGTATGCATAAATCGTGCGTGTATCTGGCCGCGGTGGACACACCATGTACCAACACCCAAACAAAGAATAAAAAAATAATAGTTTTGGCCATTTGTTCCACTTCGAGTGTACAATACAGCCATCCTGGTACTGTACACCAGGTACACGTATAAAGTCCTATACATGATCATGCTGACCTTTCATACAAACTTCCAGTCAACTTGCCCATCATGCCGGCGGCATATAAACCTCATTATACTGAGCTTGTATACAAACTCCCATCTCTCCCCACACAACACTCCAGACTTGTATTTTGCATATAACACTTTTACAGGTACTTCGATGACGAGAATATAAACTGGTATATAAACTGGTATATAAACTGGTGTATAAACTGGTATATAAACTCCTTTTTTTTTAGGATCACACTAGGGGAGTTTGTATATCAGCTCAGTATAAGCATAATATAACCTACTCAGTTGAATATGGGAAATATAAACCAATATACAAACCTCGGCTTCGCCTCGGTTTGTATACAGGTTTATATTTCCCATATAATCAACTGGTTAGGTTATATTATATACTTATAGTCATACAAACCCCATAGATCGCCACCATACTAGAAACAGGAAGAAGTAATTAGTTGACTGTCAGTTTGTATGACTATGAAGGTCAGCAAAGTATTACATCCCACTAGTACGCTTGTACGTGAAATATAAACCATCATAATTATTATAAACCTCGGCTTCACCTCGGTTTGTATGTCGGTTTATATTTCACGTACAAGCGTAGATCTACTATTGGGTTGTATTATACGTACAAGCAGGGAGTCGTGGTACAAGTCATACTCAGCCATACATGTACTGATGATGTAGTGTATACTGTCATGACATTGTATTGATTTGTACTTGCATGCGGTAGACACCAACCCGTAGATCTACGGGCCGTAGCAAAACAGGAGAGACAGAGTGGACCAGAGGCAGAGGCAGAGGTTGATCCGCCCTACAAAGTACAATGCTACATGTACTAGTACAGTAGAACCTGTGACTAACGACCACACCTTGGGGCCAGAGAAAGCGGTCTTTACTCTTTAGTGGCAGGTGGTCCTTACTTCCCTTAGAGGTTTGCACAGCACAACCATGTGAGACCGTCCGTGCCTGGCGAAGTGGTCTTTATATTAGTACCACTACCAGGCTGGTCGCTAGTCACAATGGTCTTTAAGTAAGTATTAGTTTTACTGTAGTTTGCTTCCTATCAGGGAGCCGTATAAAAATAGATACGACTCCCCGCTTCATATACATGTAATTATGTACGACACGTCCATGACTGTACAATCATCTCTTTGTTTCTAACCACGAGGACAGTGGTAAAAACGGAGAAAGGACCGTAATAACAGTTATGACTAACATTCCACCAAGATAACTAATACGTACATGTATACAGTCAGATAGTGCGACAACAAGGCCCAAAACTGACAAGGATATTGAGACATTCGACGACCTGACATGGAGCTCCAAATTTGACCAAAATATCCACGAAGCGCAAATCAACAACCTTCCAACTATTACTTAGAAGGCTCAGGTGCGGGAAGTGATAGTTCCAATGAGGGGAAAGGATGCGCCACGAAGATGTGTACGAGGTACATGTATGTCCCTCTGCAACAAAGAATGTCGAACGTTACAGGATGATGATGACGAGACTAGTAGCAAGACCATTGGACAAACCAGTCTAACTACAACTCGAAGAGGAAAGGCAACTGACCCCCCACCCCCCAACTTGGGAGGCTGAAAGGTACAAGTACTTCAGTACAGTCATGTACATGTATGTACTGCAGTACATAAAGAGGGGAAGCCAAGCGAAGATGAACTGTCACTAACCGAATAGAAAGTCACTACGGTAAGTCGGTAACCTACTAAACTCAATGTTGATGTACAGTAACAGTTGTGTACTAGTACCTTGTAGTCGCACTATCTGCCTGACTGCATAATATCTCGTTACCTTGGTGGACTGTTAGTCATAATTAGTAACGTTTTGGTCCCTTCTCTTTTTTTGCTTATATTATTGGCTCACCATCAATCTGCGGACAGAACTGCTTCGTCCTTTGTGGACTCATCAGCGCAGCACAATGGATAATGATAGGGCACAGGGCTAAACTTGGAACATTTCACAAAGAATGACAATGCACTTCCAAGCACAATTCTTGAGCATTGTGTGGCCAGTTTCCTTTACCATTTCTCAAATACTCCCATTATGAAAGATAGTCCAGGTCAGCAGTGGCAGGAGCGGTTTTCACATTCACATCAGAACCATGAAGTCGTATGCTTGCAGTTTATACTCATGAAAATACACATTGCATTTACACTCTACTGGTGTGCAAACAGAGAGAAAATAGCAGTTCCGTGTAACATTGGCAAGGAATGGCGGCGATACACTTTACAAGCAGCGATGGCGTGAAGTGGATCTTCTCAGGCTGACGGTGGTGATACCGATAGCAAGATACCGATGACTAGAGGACTCTTGCCGATAGTTGTTACACTCCTATTCCTCTCCACAGGATAGTACATGTACCTCCCTCCCACTATGTTATACTCGTACACAATACATTCACGCATATCTACTTTTCCACAGTGCTGAGTGCATGACAATTGTATAGAGAGTGTGTGTCAGAAGCAGGCAAGGGAGAAGCAAACCTTTACAAGTGCAGTAGCTAGAAGCAAACCTTTACAAGTGCAGTAGCTACACTGTAGAAGCAAACCTTTACAAGTGGAGCTACCCCCAGCTCATCACCGAGGCGCTCTGGAGGAACGTTCTTCCTTTGAACAGTTCCGAACTTCGGTCTTGGTTACTGCATGCAGTAGTACTATATGTAGTGGATCCACTGGAGTTGACGGCATCCATATCTCTGACCCCCATATCACTGACCCCCATATCTCTGATCCTGTCTCTGATCATTGCCGCATTGGCGCATTGGTGTAACACCGCCACTACAAGTATAGTGCGGCGGTCTACACTTTGCACTTGCAGCGGTGAGAGTTGCCTAGGACAGAACAGGCTACTCCATAAGGTAACAACGGCGATACGGCTCCTTTGGCTGATATCAGAGTTACATACATGTACATGTACTTGGCAATGCAAATGCTCGTACACCTGTATACCAATATCACCATCATCGTCATTATCATCATCATCATCATCATCATCATCATCATCATCATGAGTTATACGTACACATGCAAAATTGTAACATAATGTAAGTCCCACTAACAAGGAGGACACTCTTTTTTTACTATTGAACACTTACTGCATGATGAACTAAAATGAGGAGGAAAACTCGACACAATGGTACATATCCAGCAGGACGGAGTGGGTGGGACCTGTGAAGCTCAGCCGACCAAGGGTCTCGGCATCACAGCTGCACATGTGCACCAAAGGAAACAAAATGGGGAGTGGAAGGGCGGGGAGCAGGAGAGCAAGAACTCGAAGGAAAGAGAGGAGGGAGGGGAGGAAACCAGAAAACTTGTTAGTTTGCGAGTTAGTCCAAGATATGAGTGCAAACAAGCACGCAAACAAGACTTAGTACAAAGATAGCAGTATCAAGATCATGATGCTGAGGCGAAAGTAGAGGCGGATTGCCGTGCAGTTTTGACGAAAGATTAGAGTGAGAATGGAGGAGAGTTAGAGAGAGATAAAGACAGATGGAGTTTGATGAGAAGGGAGTGCTCCGAGAACATGAACAGGGTCGTACTGGCAGTAGCCTAGGCCAGGGGGCGATGTCCGTGGCCGGTGACCAACCCGACCGTTTCAGGTAGCGGTGGGTCAGAACCTTGAACTGCTGCATCCCTTTGGCAGACGGTGCATCGCGGAGGAGAGTGGCTAGCAGTTCATTCCAGGCTTCAACATCAACATTTCGGAATTTATCCACGTGTACTTCTACCATGAAGAGAAGACTTGAAATCATCAACCGCTATCTGTTCAGGGTCGAACGCCGCTGCTTACCTACTCATGAAGAAAACGGAGGCTGCATAATTATTGTGCCATTATGCATTGCAAAAGAGTTAATAAAGCGAAGGAGGCTGCTTGGCGGCACTCCAGTGGAAGGAAATCCCACTTATCAGCGGCCGGGCAGTTCCACGCGTAGAAACAGAGTCGGGAAGAAGCGTTTAAAAGTAGGGCTAAAAGCGAGGGTGGACTGTCCCCTGGTCAAGGCTTCAGTGTGGTTGGTGTTTCATCTGAGAACAAAACGCATCACAAGTAGGGGGCAGCGGCCGTGTACACATTGATTTTATATACAAGCCAAAGCGACAGAAACCACGGATTTGTGGCGGTGACAAATGGTGGCTGTTGGTTCCAGTGTTGGATGGCATGATGGCGAATTCCATGGTAGACTGAATGATGTTCTTTTTTAAACATAATTTAGTCAACCGTGGAATAAAAATATAAGTCACTTGAAAAATAAAACTGCATTGAGCAGATCTGATTGAAGTCATCCCTTGTCGTAGATGTCCCGCCTAAGTAATTAGTTTGATAAGTACTTGTATGGAATCAAGGACGAGTAGATCTTGTGTGAGTGAGAGTGTGAGATCGCTCAATCACAGGCCGACTCGCGAAGAGCGCTTTGACGTTCCCTTCACCAAGACGGCAAGAGTACACAAGTCCCACTATTCCTCCCTGTACTGGGTTTGGGTGTGGCAAAATATATCCCTAGCCAATCAATGGTATGACCGACTACAAAATAAGTTGGCAATCAATGGTATGACCGACTACAAAAAATTAATAAGTTCTGTGGACTGCACAGGCTGGAGGCTTGCGCAGGCAGGTAAATGAATTATGTGTAGGCACAGTGCCTCAGTCATGATACCGGTAGCTCAAACCTGGAAACAAACCGGATGTTTGTTACGACGCAATAGACCGATCCCCTTATTATACTGGGTTCGAGCACGGGGGCAACCTCACTCGCGATCGAGCTAGTTTTTGAACGTGACAGCATCTTTGACAGTGTGTTTCAGGTTTGTTTTGGAATGTCTTCTGCTTAGTAGTAGTTTGCGATGGCTTCGAGCGGTGCTAAACCTCCTGCTGGTAGGAGCAGAGTCTCCGAGAGAGACATGGACTGTGATGCCGCTGCAGGATTTTTTCAAGGCGCGGGAGGGAACGATCTCGGGCCACAAACAGGAGTTACTCCAGAGGTGAGTTTTTTTGTTGTTGAAATATTCGAGTCGCGAATCGTGTTGTGAGATTTATTTTGTGCCTAGGCTACAGCAGACCATATTTCTTTCTCCTTGAGATCGGTGCTGAAGATAATAGTAACCTTTTTCTGGTCTGTCTTTTCCTCTCCAGAGCCATCTTCTATGAAGGTAACCGTGGTGCTGCCAAGTCACCAAGTCGCGATCAGCAGCCCTGAAGTGGAAAAATCGATTTTCCAACGATCTGGTTGGACATCAGCCACTAAAGTACTTCTGATTTGCCTGTAGTGACAACAGCAGCCATCCTTGGACACCTTGCAAAGACAGGAAAAGCCACTGGTGGAAGCGACTGCTATGAGGTGACGATAGCAGTGCAGTGGTGATCGCTGTTTTGTCAAGTCGAAGGGCTAGCCAACCCAGAGGAAGCATAAAAAAACGATGAGCAGTGCGTGTTATTTGTTGAGCGTGAAGAGCTAGAGGAGGACAGTGCAAACACATGGACGGAGTGGATGGTGTTTGAAGAACAGTGTGCTGTGTGCCGGCTGGTGGTGATGGTGGTCTTTGTCAGCATGAAAATGGCGCTTTTAGTGACATTTTGCATACAAATCCCCATCTCGTAGGGCGCAGTCACCCAGTTTCGGTGGAAGTGCGCGAGTTCGATTGGGATTCAAGTAGGAAGGGAGCGTCTCAGCTTCCTCGGACCACGACCATTCGACTCAGCACCCCGAAGACTACAACTGGTGAAATTTTAATTTTTGCCTTAACTTCCCCTTTAACATCCTGAAGCAGGCACCACCATGCGCTCTTGGCCGAACTAATGCACGAAGCATAAACACACCAGAACAGCAAGGACACTTCCGTTGACAGATATTGTTTACGCCTCTAGACCGCTGTTTCTTTTCTTCGAGCTCATCGTTAGAGGAGAATAGTAGCAGGATACTAATGATGATATAATAGAAGATGATGGACGGTTTATGGTCCGATATTGATGATTGAAGATCTAAGATAGCAATGGCAGTGATTGCGAAATGGATAATATTATCATGATTATATGCCAGTCTGGTAATGCGTTGTACTAGTGGACAGTATTGAAATCATCACTGCATTCGATGCAAATATTGGTATACCTTTGGTTTCAGTATTGGAAAAAAAGAGTAAGAGAACCTGGTTGATTTGGTTGCATCTGCGACTGGCTACCGGGTGTTGTGATCAGCAATGTTACCATGGGAGAAAATAAGAGCGCAAGGATCTGTTGGGTCTTTTTGTGCCGGTGCGAGAACCCTAAGTGCATGGCAAAATAGAACTGTTTCATCCACAATGCAGAATGTCTTGCGGTACATGGCATTGATGACTGAACATCTCGCCAGCTCGCCCAAATGGGGATCATGCCCAAACGGAGGAACAAGACATCTTTCCAGCTCAGCTAGCTATATAGTATATACCGTGAAACGGATGATTAACTTGTGCCACGCATGACAGCTTCTGTCCCATTCGGCCCAGGCTTAGACACATCAATGCCAATAGCAGCTGATCCTCCATTACATGCTCATTGGCGATTTACGGCCACCTCCAACTGTATCCGCCGTCCCTCAGCTTCCGTCTTCGCAGATCTGGCTCGGCGCAGTACATTTTCTCGGCTAGGCTCAAAGAAGTCCCACAGAGCGGTCCAAACACCTGAAGGCAAACCAGTCAGAAACTGGCGCGGCTCAGAGTCTTTCTTTATGTTATTGTACGTAAGCTGTTTTTCGGCTTTCTTCACCCCATCGTCCAACTGCTCCACGAGACTCTGTACACGAGCTCTACTTGCTGCCAACTCCTGATGCAGATGCTGCACTTCCATTACAGGACCAAACTGCACTAAGCCAGGTTCCTTTCCAACTCAAAATGCCGTTGCCTCTCAGCAAAATACTGGTTTGCGAGCATGGGGAGCTCGTGATGCAGACGCTGCACTTCCATGACCGAACTGCACTAGGCTCAGCAAATACTGTTTTGCGAGCATGGGGAGCAGAGCGTCCAGACTCCACTCTCTTGCGAAAAGCAAACCTGGTACCGTAGGACAGCTGTTTGGTTTCCTGGACTCATCCTGCCCTTGTAGAGCTGGGCAAAACGATTTCGACTTCGGGATCGAAATGATCGCTGCATCTCAAATATTCAGAGTGACCCTAAAACTACGTCCTTCCTCACGGGGAATAGCCTGGATCCGCTTGCTCCAGGCCGCTGTGGCTCCACACGACAAAAGGAGTGAAATGACTTGCTTGCTTCGTCCTCCTGTTCTGACAGTGAGGAACGCAGCAATGATCCTGAGAAGGCATCCTGAAGTCGTAAAAAGGAAGACGTCTAAACAAAAACAAAACAGCTCAAATCAAAAGTCCTTGTGGCATTTTTTGTAGACAGGCTTGCACTGCGTGTAGATTTCGCGTGCTCTGCACTTCGCATGCGAGAAGTCACGCAAAGCCGAGGTGAGGTTGGTCGCGTGTGTGCAGCAGGATCCCACGCGACTGCGGAGTTGCCCCCTTCCTCGAACCCAGACAATAATAAGGGGATCGGTCTATCATGTCAATATGACTGAACCTGTATGATGTAACCTTGTACTTGTAGTTGTGACTTGTTGTAGGGTTCAGGGCAGGGAGTCGTATAGACCCTGGTTCAGGGCAAGGAGCACTGACGATAAGCACCTTTCTAAAGGGAGAACTTCAAATTTCAAAGGATAAGTCGGGGAAATGAACTGCCTGATATAAAGGGAAAAAATACCCAAGGGCGCGAGGGCCATCACCATGATCACTAGCACTGCACTGGCATGGCATCAATATGTGTGGCACGTGTTGTGAGCGGTCTTCGCATACACGCGTGCACGGTTCTGTAGGTTCGGCCTGGTCCCATACCGAGTAGCTCAGATGGTTCAATACAGGGAGTCGTACTCAAACTAAAGTAATAGTGTAGACTTAGTTTGAGTACGACTCCCTGGTTCAGTACATGAGAGTCAAAGCAAGGTCCCGGGTAGATCTACGGATTCGAGACCGAGGCTGGAGTGGATGGGGTTGGCATTTTTTTCTCTTTTCAGGCAGTTCGACGTAGATCTACGCGTGAGTTCGCGTCCACCATACCACTGGTCAGATTTGGGCTGCTGCCGTGCTGGACGTGGACTTGGTGGCACCAGGTCCAGCAGCCCAAATGTGACTCCCCCGACTGATCCGTTGAGAACACTGTTTCGTAGTAATATACCGGTAAATTACTACTCCCTGGTTCACCACCAGGTCATGGCCTTTGAACCAAACCAAAACCAAACCTCATGTGTGGTGTCTCAGAAAAGGACACGTACAAAATAGTGCTATACAATCATGTATTCAGTATGTGCGTGTACGGTGTATGTAGAGTGCAGGTAGGGTGAGGAGTTCTTGAGTTGGAAATACCGGTAATATCAATTTACCATCCACAATGACTATGTAGGATGTCGTAAGTCGATCTCAGACAACCCTGGCCTGTACCTTTCGTGGCTGAAGCTGCCATGGGACGATTTCAGTAGATGATGCTTTGGACCGTGGGTTGTGATTAGAGGTGGAACAATGGGAGCGCAAGTGGAAAGCAGACGAGAAGGTGCAAGGGCAACATGCCGAAAATACGCTGGACTAAATCTGCTCGCTCTTATTCAGTTGTTGTACCAGCTGACTGTTGCTGGGATGTATGGTTACGCACCTCTCGGGATAAAGGGCACTGTAAGTTTTCACTCTGAGAAAGTTTTGGCAGTACTTACATTGTTCTAGGACCGCGGCTGGGCACAAACAACACCAAATAAGCAAGCCACCGCTGTCGTTTTTGAACACACTATTCGAGATTGCCAAATCTGTTCTTGGGATCCATTGAAGGTTTATCCAGCCACCGCTATGCACGCATGCTCTTGTCAGATCCTCAATCTACGTTGGTAGGACTGGTTACACAATGCATATTTTGTGGTACTTTATGGGGATTTCCTGGAATAGTTGTATTCCTCAGACCTGCTGCATGCACACTTACATGAATGTGCATGTGCATGCGGTGTGTGGGTGGGTGGGTATATGCATGTGCGTGCATGTCTGGCTGTCTGTCTTTCTGTCAGTCTGTCTGTCTGTCTGTCTGTCTGTCTGTCTATTTAATATATCTATGTGTGTCTTTGTATGTGTGTCTGCGTGTACACATGTGCATGATTGTGCATAAGACAACACTACACAGCATATCATCAATTGCCAGTGAAACGGGCAAGGTGATGGTCAGGGTGACGAGCTCAGCCAACCCCTACACTGGCCCCAGTGAGCTCAGTCTTATACTCTCCAATGCTGCGTTTACACCCTGTATGAGAAAAGATGATGTCATCTTTGCAAGGTAGGGTTGGCATGCTTTGGGTCTGTTTGCATCAAGGGAAAATCGTTTGCACAAGCATGATCATTGACGGAGTACTTTTCTAAATAGTTCATGGCTTGTACTTCATGAAGTAGTATGATTGGACGGTCACTGGTCACAGTGGCCATGTCAAAAGGAAATCAATGAGTAAGCAGCAGCATTCGACTCTGTACAGATTTTACAACGAACGTGTCGCTCTGCTGATGGTGTGCTGTGGCAACGTGGCGAGGTCGGCTGGAGTGGGGAGCGCAGTTATGGGGTGGTGGGTGATGAAATATCAAAACTAGTTGTAATATTACTACACTAGCACCTTCACTTCACTGTGCACACAGCGCATGTACTTGCAGGGTCGGCGGCACTCGTACGCCAGGTGATGCTATTGCTGTACCAGGTTTTGCCAATTCCAGCTTTCCCGGACTGTCCAATACACAATCAAATTTAGTATTCAAGTAGGCACCCCACTGCCCAAAGAATGCTCAGTACATGTAACTACACAGGGCAGAGCCGACCTGGGGCCGTACCACCCCTCATGAGCTGGCCCCGGGCCTGATTTGGTGTTGATTGCGTCTCCCATTGTAGATATGAAACGATCAATGAAGTCAGCATGAACGGCTCGTGCTGTGGCCAGTGCATCACAATCAGCAATGTGACCAGGGTATCGCACTGCACACTGACGGACAAGAAGCGCTGTACGACTCTCTATCGCAAGCCGACGAGTATGTTTGTTGCATCGCAGCTCTGCAGAAGCACCACACCACATTCTCTGAGCAATATTAGCAGGCCAGTGATCAACACATGGGCAGCATGTTGTATTGGAGTGATGGGACACTGTCACATGACCACAGTGGAAGAGTGCATGCATACATTCAACGGAAAGTGGTTTCTCAACAAGATGTGCAGACAGGTGAGTGAGAAACCAAGTACCTTTTGACAACTTGCTCACATGTATGTGGCTGATTGTGAACATGCTCACGCCTTCACTAAGGAATCGAAACTTTGCTCTCTAGACACTACAGTCAGACCTCGCTTAACCGCACACATTCGCTTTCCACAAAAATATCCGAATAGGCGAGGGAACCGGATAACCGAACACTGGTTATGTTGGATGAACCACGTATGCCGTAAATCTGTAGCCAGCTATTTTCTTCCGGATGGCAAGGGATCCGGATAAAAGAGGACGGGATAAGCGAGGTCTGACTGTATCAACACGGGATGCTCAGACTGGTCACTATATCGTTGTCACTCTTGGTCTTGCCAGTGAAAATGTTTGTGCCGGTTTGTCCTGTCATACTAGGTGAACTGCATTGGCGAGGTGTGTGGTGGAATGCCTAAGCTTCCTGCTGATCCCAACTCTCCTTACCGGTCACTGATATCAAATCAACTCTATCGTTGGATTACAGCCAATTTTCTCCACCGGGGAATGGTTGACTTCGTTGTACTGCTCAACATACAGGTAGGTAGGTATTACCTGGTCATGACACATTCACTGGACTGGACTAGACCCTGCTGAACTGTGATCTATTGCTACATTTAGTAAGAAAAGGTGCACCAGGATAAGAGATGAAAGAGGCCTGCCCATCAGACATGCTATGATCAGAGTGGATCCAACTTGACCAAGAGGTTTTATTATTATTATTATTATTGACATCTGATGCCACCACTTCCGAACTCTTTTCCAGTATGCTCTTTCTGTACTCTATCATAGTACAAAATGGCTGTGATTTTATTGATTTTGTGTATGTAGTACTGGCTTGGAATACCAATCACACTGGATAATGGCAGCATGACACCAGTCGTCGTGTTCCTCATGAGTGGCTTTGGAGGACAAATGGTAAGGCAATTGCCATGGCAACAAAACAAACTTCGTGCATATCTGGGTCATGTATTCAAGTCCTGTGCTAAACACATGTCACACAGTTCCATTCACTGCATGAATGGACGTCTCTTCAGTGCCATGTGTTAACCTGTGTGTAAACGATTCATCTCTATATTCTATTGCTCACGTTTATAGGATTAATAAAACGGTTGTCTCCTCGAAGATTGCTTGTACCTCTTCTTTGTTTCTTGGTTTCCTTATTCATACATGTACATCAGGTGGCAACATCTCTTCAGCCATACAAGATTCACCTGAGCAGCAGCAGTGCGGTGTGGGGTTATGCGGCGTACTACCCGCTGACGCTGCTGAGAGACTTCTCCCCGTCAAGCACTCCCATGATTAAGCTGATCAATCACCTCTGCTTCTTCGCCTTCATGCTTGGTCTGGATGCCCTGCTCTCAGCATCGAGCCTTGCCAGCATAGCTGGCTTCTTTTTCGGATTTTGGACGTTGCTAACAGTGCAGAAAACACGCTGGACCCAGAGAGAAAAGGACGATATTAGACCATGGTGGAAAGAGAAGGAGTTTTGGCTTAGACTACACGGTGTCGTGTGCATCATTGTGTGTATTGCAATAGTTGCAGTCTCCTTCTTCTATCAGGTCAAGTTTCCAGCTGTGCTTAGTGGCTACACTCCAGAGTATTGTGGTCGCGGTGTGCGTGCGCTCAACAATCCAGCTGCACTCCTGCTCTATGATGAGAACGAATACGACTATTTTGTGTACCACACTAACAAAAGTAGTGAGATGAGATTCTTTTCGTGTATGTAGTAAGTATATGTAGTAAGCATTTTTTAAATACGCTTGCCACTATTTAATCATTCAATGCAATTCATTGGCATATATTCAATTCTAGAATCATGTTCTATTTTAAACACCCTACCTTGCAAGGGTATTTATTAGGGGTCAAACGGGTGTACCGGGTACCCGCTCGTTAACCCTTTCACGGTCTCAGAATCCAGTCAAAATGAGGCTATTTACAGAATTCAACAATTTCGTACCTTGATTCATCCATAACTTCAGTTTCCCTTCGCTGATTTTCGTGATTTTGGGCTCTCTGGAAAGCTCTGGACAAGAGCAACACGCCGAGCTACAATTCGACACCAAGCGTGCCGTGGATCCAGCGCTGCAGCGCAGCGACATCGCCCCAGTGCTTGATTCACGACGAGAAACAAGATTCAACAGCCATTTCCCTCTCCTTGCTTACATCGAGCTCATATTTTTTGTGAGGAGTGCTGCGAGTCCATACTCTCATTTGAATCCGTGTCTCTATGGTGACAGCTAGCTGCAAAGGGAAAAACCCGTCCTCAAGACCCAGCTCGCCCACTCAAATCGTAAATGAGCCGTGACGCAGATCGCGAGCTTCGTAGCATCGCAGCCGTTCACTCTATCGCTTCGGCGATTGTTCCTACGGATAGCCTGGAGCTTTCTCTTCAACCCAGATATTTAGATGTTCGAATTTGCTCAAAAATTGACTGAGTTACGATAGTTTGAAAAATCGATCACCGGTGATCGATTTTCAAATGTGAGACCGTAAAAGGGTTAATCTCAGGTACCGTTAGTAAAAGGGTGCCCGTTTGTAAAAAAAAAAAAAGCTGCCACCTCGAACTAAAAAGTTACGATGGTTCTCTGCGACATCGAACCTGCCACAGTGCTTGAAGATGAAATAGTGTCACTAGGCTGAGTGACCAGTGGGAGTGTCACACGGTGATGTCCGTAGGTACAGTGCTGGCAACTGAAATCCGACCGCCAAGGGGGTCGGATTTCAGTTGCCAGCACTGTAGTAGCTATGATACTTATGGTTGTAGTTTGTTCCTTCAATCGACGAGCTTAGTTGAAAAGTAGTTCAAAATATTGCATACAAGATTACGGATTTGTGAAGATTCGTTTCACGAGTTCAACGAGCTAGCACTAGCAGCTAGCTGGCCAGCAGCACATCAGCTGTGTCAGGCACCCCAGCTATGGGTGCGAACATCTTCTGAATGCGAAGAGTACCAGTTCTCTGCGAACATAACAAATAGGATTGCGCGAGATAACGGAACGTTTGCTAAACTATTCTGTCCTTACATGGCTTGAATCGCACCAATCTGCAGTTGATTTGCGTACATGTATCAAAAACTCAAAATACATGATTGTACATGTGGCACTAGGACCATGTATGATCGTAACTGCCTGTGAAGTTGTGTGCATGGGCAAATGTACGGATGACATTCATTTGGAACTTCAGTGCCATAATGTTATTATGGGACACAAATCAATTGCGAATCATAATGTGGCATCAAAATACAACCTGATAATATACAAATTTAAATCACGATTTTATACTGCAGAACTCCCACTGAGACCCTGTACGCTTACACCAAGATCTACACACTAGAGCAACGCTTAAATTTCAAGCAATACGTCTTTGTCTTTCGCTGTCTGCATGGTTTATCTAGCCCACTTCTCAGCCTCCTATTCACTCCCCGTTGCACTGGCCCACACTCTGCTGCCACAACTCGGGGCCAAGCTACAGCTGCTCTTGTCTTGCCTGCCTGCCACTCCCGGTATGGTTTCCATTCCATTGCGTATCTTGGTGCCGACAGGTGGAATGCGCTGCCTCCATCTTGTCGCCTGGCCGAGTCGCCTGCTTTGTTTCGCGCTCACACAAAGTCTCATTTAGGGTTCCCAGTAAAAAGGCAACATTGCCTGTTGGGAAATCCCTAACAAAATAAGAAAAAATAATAATAATAATAATCTGAGAAATGCGCAAAAAATAATATGGCTGCTAAAGGGTACCCGTTAAGAAAATTACCCTTTCGTTAGTTAAAGGTACACCCGTTTGACCCCTAGTTTTTTATCTAATTCCGGTATTTCATGTCCGAAGTACAGAACCAATACAGGTACGCCACTCAACCTGCACGTGCATGTACTGTATTTTTGGAATCAGGAATATCTTCACGACGCCTAAATTCGTGAAAGAGATTTATAATCGACTCGGCCCGGATGGAGAGCCAAGGATGAATTTATAGAAAAGAAAAAGGACTAAGGATCTACAAGTTATGCTATAATGTCCACTAACACCATCAGTTACTTAGCAATCAGCTCATGTGATAACATTGCATGACACTGACCGACGGTACTGACGTTCTACAACTAACTGGCTAACAGCTCTAGCGCATCTTGGATGCGCACTTCAACAGCCTGCCAACTTGGAAGGTTCAAATTTATAATGATAACATAAGAGGGGAAGGTGAGCGCATCCAAGATGGGCTAGAGCTGTTAGCCAGTTAGGTGTATAACGTCAGTGCCGTCGGTCAGTGTCGTGCAATGTTGTCGCATGAGCTGATTGTTCAGTAACTGGTGGTGTTAGTGGACATTATAGCGTAACTTGAAGTTCCTTGGTCCTTTTTCTTTTCTATAGATTTACAATGCCTTGGCTTTTGTTGACATTAAAACAATAACGGGGAGTGAAGAATGCGAAATATTAGGATTGCCTCGTTCAATTCCCTTGTTGCGCAACGGGTCTAGAGTGAAAGACTTTTCATGGCTTATTTATGTTGTTCTTTAGTTTTATTGTGTAGTGGTTTAGTCTTGACTTGTTGCACTGTTTTGGTTGCATGTGCAGTCTTCTGTACATGTATACACCATGCAACGCTTACGTCATCGTCGCGCGTGCAACATTATTTCGCGCGCGCGCGCGCGCGCGCGCGCATGCTCATTATATACTGCCGCAACGTTTGTCCTTTTCTTTAGTTATCAGTTTTTGCCTCGTCGTGTCCGGTCTTCTTGTCTGTCCGTCTTCGTCTTGTCAAGAGAATATGTAGAACTTTTAGTTCAGTTGCGCTGTTGTGTGTGGCGAGTCGGATGGGCGGGGAGGCTGGGCCCCTGACGCCTGGAGAAGATGTGCTGGTGCACGAAAATGGCGATCACGCCAGGATTGTCAGGAAGACGAGGAACTTGCAGGAACTCCGGTGCGAAGGAAAACGCATCGAGAACAAATAACCATTAGTACGTCTACGTCGTTGGGAGGCAGTTTGCACCGTGCATGCGTGGACGAGTGACCAACGAGGGAGCTGCGGATTGTGTGACCTCTGAGGGAGCTGCTTGAATCCGACGACAAGGACGGTGCGAAGGAAAACGCATCGAAATCAAATAACCATTTGTACGTCTACGTCGTTGGGAGGCAGTTTGCACCGTGCACGAGTGGACGAGTGACCAACGAGGGAGCTGCGCCGTTGTCCGCAGTTTGTACCTGGGATTGTGTGACCTCCGAGGGAGCTGCTTGAGTCTGACGACAAGGACGGTGCGAAGGAAAACGCATCGAAATCAAATAACCATTTGTACGTCTACGTCGTTGGGAGGCAGTTTGCACCGTGCCAGACTGGACGAGTGACCAACGAGGGAGCTGCGCCGCTGTCCGCAGTTTGTACCTGGGATTGGGTGACCTCCGAGGGAGCTGCTTGAATCCGACGACAAGGACGGTGCGAAGGAAAACGCATCGAAATCAAATAACCCACGGTACGGTCGTCCACAGTGGAGGAACCCTGCGGGGCGCTGTTCTCGACGACAAGAAGAAGGACATGGAGGGTGCGAAGGAAAACGCATCGTGAACAAATAACCCGCCATGAGTGTGAAGGAGTTTGGAGGGTGCTCCCGCTTTGATTTGTTTTGATTTGCTCGATTATTTATTTGTTTGTGCCTGGCCTGGTGATGGGTCGGATGTTGACTGTAGTTTATTGCCTTGATTTGCTGGTGCCTGGTGACAGTTCGGAAGCTGACTTCCGTTTGTATTTTCTATTGATCGTTCATTTGTTATTATTTATTTTGCCGTTTGTGAGTCTTAGATTATCTATGCGTGCAGCATAGATTATATGTAGTACAGTTTGCAGCCTCCTTGAGCCTTGAAAAGGTCTTTGGCGGGGAGTATGTTGCGCAACGGGTCTAGAGTGAAAGACTTTTCATGGCTTATTTTAAGTTATTTATGTTGTTCTTTAGTTTTATTGTGTAGTGGTTTAGTCTTGACTTGTTGCACTGTTTTGGTTGCATGTGCAGTCTTCTGTACATGTATACACCATGCAACGCTTACGTCATCGTCGCGCGTGCAACATTATTTCGCGCGCGCGCGCGCGCGCGCGCATGCTCATTATATACTGCCGCAACGTTTGTCCTTTTCTTTAGTTATCAGTTTTTGCCTCGTCGTGTCCGGTCTTCTTGTCTGTCCGTCTTCGTCTTGTCAAGAGAATATGTAGAACTTTTAGTTCAGTTGCGCTGTTGTGTGTGGCGAGTCGGATGGGCGGGGAGGCTGGGCCCCTGACGCCTGGAGAAGATGTGCTGGTGCACGAAATCCCTCTTCTTCCAGCCATTAATGAACTATGCTGTACCAGCTGCAGGGCACTTGATAGCAATGAACGGCTAGTTTCATGCTGCGCACAACAGAACGGTAACTGTATGGGGATTATTGTCAATGCAATGCCAGAATCACAGCCGTTCCGTGCTCCAGCACGCAGCAATACAAAGGACGACGAGTACATGCATTATTGTCTTTTCATGCTAGTATGTTGGCATCAGAACTAGAAAGAAATCACTTGTCAAGAGCAAGGACATGACGAAAACAATTACAACTAAAGGATACGAAGCTTGTCATCGCCGGTACAGAGGTTTTGCTGATCTCTATGTGCCCGGCGAATATGTTAGTTGGTCAGGCTTGATCTGCTATCCATAAGCATCACTGAGGCAGACCAGTGATGACGAACACCCAGGCATGCTGACATGGCAGACGAATAGTGTCCACATCCGGTACTGTAATGTGAAAACCATCTGCAGCTTGACTTGCTGTCAGCTTGCCTGACATGCCCATCATCTGCACGGACACTGTGCTGGGAGCATTCTTGATTTGAGTCAGCACTAGATCACCCGGCTTGCCACCACTCACTGTACGCCAGGAAACAGAATAGCATGGCAGCATGGATTATAACAATCATCTTGTGTACTATTGATACACTTTAAAAAGAGGTTTACAATCTCTTAGTATGAGTACATAACAAGTCATGTATTTTCCCCTCACCCCGAGTCACCGTGTTCAAGTGACTGGGGATACCAATGTGTGCAATAAGTTCATCCCGCAAACTGTACCTACTATACACCTCTCATGTCGCATTTTCCGGATTGCTATGCTTCTCGATATCGATATGAATATTGTCTCACATTGATAGTTGCTAACATGTCAGCATGCTATCTAAGCATGTTGTGTGTGTGAAGAGAATATTCACTTACCCTGCTTAGGCCAATCAAAGGAAATCGCATACACATCTCCAGTAGCCTGAGAACAGGACAGCAACACACATCATCACAGACAGCCGGGAGAAGACTACTTTGCACTGCAGGTATATTCCGTTCATTTGGCTACAAAGTGAAACATGAAGTCATATCGACAATATTGACCATCCAGTAGCTAGTCGGAGTAAAAATATTACCTTGGATTGTGTGTACCATATACGACCAGCGACGGTATCGTTCTGAGCTATCCATGGCTTGGTCCCATAGATTGCATCACCATTTACCTGAAACATATTGTATAAAAATATGGTTTAGGACTTTTAAGTTGAAGTGCAATAAAGAAATGAAGATGCTTCATTACTAGCACCCGCTCTCTCTGCCTGAGGCTTCAGCAATTTTTGCCATTTTGAACCATCTCTCGTACTTTGCCCCAACTTGAGGAAGCCCTAAGAGCTTCCTTAAATGAAATTCCATGAGTAAGTTAGTCAACAGGGGCAAAAACTGGCTTTACATGTATGTGTCGTAAGGCTTTTATACTTCTGAAGTATCAGGGTTCTAGCCAGGTCAAAATAGTAAGGGGGGGGGAGGGAAAATAGTTACCACGTAACCCATTTTTCCATTTTCAAAATACATGTAACTGTCTTGCATTGTGAAATGCAATGTATGGGGGAACACCTGACTTCACCCTAGACAAATAAGCCTTTATGAACCCTCTAGTACTGACTATTGACTGCATTTTCGTTAAATGGTATGAAGAAACACAAAATCGGAAAATGAGTAGGGGTGCGGCACTTTTTCACAGGGGCGCACAAACAGAGTAGGGAGGGGGATGCTGTGCCCCCTACCCCCCCCCCCCCCCACCATCACCCTTTGGGTAGATCCCTGAGTATGTACTATGCAAGGCCTTCTACTGCGAATTCTGGTGTGCCAAGTGTTATTAGGCAGGAAATGTTTAAAAAATGGATACATAACACACACCTTCAACCAGTCTCCCATCTGCAACAGCCGATCCTCGAAAGCAGGCACCAAGCGTCCATCTGCGGTGGGTCCAACATTCAAGAGCAGATTTCTGGAAGGACAAACACCGCAAACACAACAACGGGTCATAATTATTACTTTCAACAATAGAGCAGGAGCTGATCGCATAAAGTTGTGCCATACTGCAACCTTCAGAGCACTTACTTATGTGTTGGCCATTGCGCAGTGTGCAGTATCCTGTAGTTCATTGGGTTTGTATAAAGTGTCCAGCGGCGTATTGGCTTGTGCGAAGTGTCCAGTGTTTTGGCTTGTGCGAAGTGTCCAGTGTATTGGGTTGTGCGCAGTGTCACATGCCTGTTGTGTTTGTGCATAACCATGATGGCGATGTCACTTGTGTTCTTTAAGAAAAATGTAAATCAAAACCTGGAGTGTGGGGTGACAGGGTCCAATATCAGGTGGGAGATGGGCAGATGGAGAAACATTTCCGGCACTGGAAGGTGAAAAGTACTTGTAAGAGACTCACCCATTGCAGCTGACTGTGTCCACCAGCTGATAGATCAAACCGGTCGCATTGTAGAAAGACTCAATTCCCTCCTGAAACAGTCCAAGGACAGAATAGACTCAACACTCAACATTTACTGGATGCAAAATTCTTTATTGTGATGTCGAAAAATTATTGTGTTTCGGGCCAGTCACCCATCGTCAGAACAATTTCCAAGGGGCGAACCTGGTCTTTTATGTCCATACATGTACCAAACAAATCGCTAAAAGAAATTTCCAAGGAGCACAGCAGATCACAAGGTCCTAGCATGGGTATATCAAACTTGTAAGAGTACCTTGGCCACTAACAGCACTCAGCTATGCATAGTGTCATAGTGATACCAGTATGCACTACCGGGAAAGGCAACCACCTGCCAGAAAATAACCACTATGAGCAGGACCAAACTGGACTATCATTTCCAGCCAAGTGACCATGGTTCAGGGAACCACCTGCCAGAAAAGAACCACTATGAGCAGGACCATACTGAACTATCATTTCCAGCCAAGTGATCATGGTTCAGGGAACCACCTGTGCATGGAAATAACAACAGCATGGGAATCCGTTTCAAACCACGTCCGGTCAGCTTATCGATCTCACTGCATTTTTTATAAATTTTAAGGCGGGGGCAGTGTTTCCTTACAGTCTATGCATGCAGAACCCACTGACATACAAACTTACTGTTCGGTCAAAGCCCCAAGAGCCCTGTTGAATGGTGAAGCAGCTCTCCCATTTGCTGGCCACCTTCTTTCCAGGCGTCCATCGATCAGGTCCGGTACTGTAATCCCCACCACTTCCAGATCCCCAGCTACAAAAAGTTACACACAATACATCACAGAATGAAACATTCACTTGTACATGAGTGCATATACTGTGGACATCAGTAGAGAAACAGGGACATTTCAAAACACACATGTGTCTGATCAAAAGGCATAAATACAGACCCAAACACGAGCAGGGAAAACATCTAATCTACTCACCGACTGTTCACCAGCACAGTATCCTTGACAGGACTTTCATTGTACAACCAGCTGATAAATTCTGGTGCTTTCCAGTATTTAACCGAATCAGATGAGCAGGGATTATCACCAGAAGCACCGTCAGCCCAGATGACTTCCGGCTGTAGAGGATATTGAACAAACATGCATTGGTATCAATACGCTTCTGAATTAATAGGATATTGGGCATACATCCACCCATGCATATCATACAATCTTGTTCTTTGCATTTGGTATTAGCATCTACAATACAGTTCTCGTAAAGACTATTGATTATGGCAAACAGACCCTGACAAAGTTCTGCTCTGCTACTCCTGCACCTTGTATCTAGTTGTCATGTCCTTCAGAGTTGGCATCAGAACTTGGTCCACAAATTTCGGATCTGTGCAGTTGTTCTCGTTGTCCTTGATACAAAAAACACAAAACAAAGAGGCCAACAGCAGGCCAAACATCAATATTGCCTGGTTCCACCAAAAATATTTGCTCCTCAGTCTCCCAAAGCATGTGAATTTATCCACTTATGGATTGCGGTTGGTAGTGGTGTTAATCAACAGGAAAACCTCCTACCTGCATGAATGCAAAAATGTCTAGTGCATTGACCAGTGATCATGACATTATTAGTTATCGCCCCAGTAATAGAGATAAATAAAGCCTTTCCTAAACCATGCGAGTGATGGCCAAGGGCCTAAATATTGGCGGGTGTTGGAGCAGTGGCTTGTGAATGACTGAATTAAAGAAAGGCTTCAGTGGAATTTGCAGTGGAGTCTGTGTAGTCTTAGAAAACGTGCAGGGTAGTGATAGGTCTGTGAGGATGTAATGTGGCTAACCTCCAGGAAGAGAGGGTTGTACCACTCTCTCATGCTGTGATATAGACCCATGTGTAGCCCTGCTGCTCTCACACTGTCTGTCAGCTCTCCAACAAGATCACGATGAGGACCAGTGTCCATGCTGCAAACAGAAAGTTATGAGTACGCCATGGGAAAACACTGGACATCAGGCTTTTACTTCAAATGTTTGCCTTGAAGCTTGAGTGCAAAACTGAAGCCACCTTGCTAAACCTGTTCTTTGCTGGGCAATTTGACAAGAATGGTCAGGATAGATTGGAAGCAATTTCGTACCCGGTTTGATTGCTCAATATAACTCAGCGTTAAGTTAGAATATATTTCAAGTAGTTCAATACAAGAAGATCCATTGAATTCCTCTTCAAGTGAATAGTATTTTAGTGGACGTGTCTTGTGAGCATGCACAAATCAAGTCAGTTTCCACCCTGACCATTGCATGCTTTATGAGCTAACCTGTTCCAGTTCCAATGTTGAGCACTTGGGAAGTTACACCAGCCTTCGTGATGCTTGGAGGTCAGTACAACATCTAGGAGTGATATGATCAATCCACACACCAAGTAGATCAGGTTATAATTAGTTGCACTGATTAATGTCACCAACACATGACGGTTTCTTGGGTGGGAACTCATCTCATGATTTGTGTTTGCCAAACGATCTAATCAAAGCACCACTGTGCCATGCAAGCTTGGTAAAGATGCCGCCACCAAGCAACCTCATGGACAATGCCACACTAATGACAATATAGACAGTACATGCACATGCAGTCATGATGTGTGTGTGTGTGGGGGGGGGGGGTGCTGTGTATGTACACGGCGTGTGTGTGTGTGTGGGGGGGGGGGGGGTGCTGTGTATGTACACGGCGTGTGTGTGTGTGTGTGTGTGTGTGTGTGTGTGTGTGTGTGTGTGGAATTTATCCAAACTTCTGATATCCCGTTGGAGTGGGGTCCAACACTCTCCGCCATACAGTAATATGTCCTCAGCATCACCAAGCCTCGTCAGTGGTCCGAGCGGCTGTCATCCACAGACCTGCGGAACCGTTGGGGAGACCCAGTACTGATGTCTACACGCCTCCGCAATCGGCGTCTGGAATGGACTGGGCACGTTGCGCGTATGGATGAGGATCGCACCCCCCTCCAACTCCTCTTTGGGTGGCTACCTGTGTCTCGGCCGTTTTGTGGTCCCCGGCGACGGTGGAAAGACACGGTGATGACTGACCTCAAGTTTGCACTGCAACAGCCATCTCAGTGGTTCATCCTTGCTCAGGACCGCCAACAGTGGAGGGAAGTACGGGTTGCCCCTCAGTCGAGCTCCACCATGCCCAAGTCTGTGCATTGCGCAGTGTGTGACCGGAACTTCTCGCGGGTCTCCGATAGAACGCGGCACAAGTGCACCACTCAGAGACGGCTTCCCATCCAGCTCCAGCGTGGATCAGTGCAATGCCAGAACTGCCAGAGGTGGTTCCGCAGCAAGGGTGGCTACTCTGTTCATCGATGCCAGCCTGTCACGAGTTCTCCTACACCAACAGTCAGTCTGTCTGTGCCACTTTCAGCTTGTTGCCAGCAGCACTGCCCAACATGTCAGCGATGCTTCCGTTCTGTGGCCGGGTTCAAGCGTCACAACTGCAATCGTGGTGCGAGACCATCTGCTGCTGAGAGAGCAGCTCTGCCCCTCAGCTGCCCACATTGTAAACGCAATTTCCGCCGGCAGCAGGACCTAGCCAGACATTCGCGGTCCTGCTTGTGATCCGTGCCCCGTTTTCTGGTCCCCTTTCCATAGGGGTGACACTTGCCCCTCTGGGCAGTCATGCTGCTAGTAGTAGTAGTAGTAGTAGTAGTAGTAGTAGTAGTAGTAGTAGTAGTAGTAGTAGTAGTAGTAGTAGTAGTAGTAGTAGTGTGTGTGTGTGTGTGTGTGTGTGTGTGTGTGTGTGTGTGTGTGTGTGTGTGTGTGTGTGTGTGTGTGTGTGTGTGTGTGTGTGTGTGTGTGTGTGTGTGTGTGTGTGTGTGTGTGTGTGTGTGTGTGTGTGTTGTTACTTACATTTTGCACCGGAATTCTTGAACAGCGTCGCCCATGCGTCCGGGTCATACAGCTCAGCATTGAACATCGGTGCAAAGTCATAGTAGCTGAATTGAAAGAACAAACCCAGATATGCTAGTCAAGTGTCAAGTCAAATCCACTGAGGTGCGTAGCTCGTGTGTAGTCCGCTTAGTCAAGTCACCACACCATGTACCAGCAAACTGCTGTTGTAGCTATTACATAGTCATAATAGCGGCCACAATGACGACGGCTTTGAGGCTGCTGGTGGTACATGGTTACCACAATGACGGCTATGAGGCTGCTGGTGGTACATGGTCACCACAATGACGACTATGAGGCTGCTGGTGGTACATGGTCACCACAATGACGACTATGAGGCTGCTGGTGGTACATGGTTACCACAATGACGGCTATGAGGCTGCTGGTGGTACATGGTCACCACAATGACGACTATGAGGCTGCTGGTGGTACATGGTCACCACAATGACGACTATGAGGCTGCTGGTGGTACATGGTCACCACACCACAGATTTGCTAGCTTTGCCCCTGGTTAGTCGGCGGAAAAGTGCGAGCCCTGGTGTAAGAAACACCAGAAATGCTAGTGAACATAAAGAAAACGTCACAGTAATACTGGCATTGGGTTACTGGCCTACAGTATAGGCCAAGTGGAAGCTGTGACAATACTACAGGCTCAGGCAAACTTTCCATTGCGATACGTTATCATATGTAGAGTGATTGTCCAATATATACACAAGCAATTGACCCACGATGATCAAACACAAACGAACACTGTCTACAAATCCCTCCTACTCACGTGAATTCCTCCCCAGTGCAGGGAAACTTGTTCGGCTGCACACCTGAACAGCCATACACTCGGTTGTGGAATTTGACGATCTCTGCGTTACCATCCATTAGATCTCTCCAGTACCACTCACTTCTGAATGATGGGACACTGAACATACCCCAATGAACTGGAGAACACAAAAACAATTACAGCCGTCTCTAGTTAATCCACCATTCAACAAGGCAACAACCTCAATGAACTACATGTAGCACGTTTTCATGGACCACCATGTGCCATTCATATGCACAACCATAAATCAGATTGAATGATATTACTCTAGCCTCCTCCTGGACCTGTTACACAGCAGAATGAATGCCTGTCGCACAAACAGAGCTGGATAAAAGATAAAAGAGGGACCATTAGGTCCTCCTATTTTGTTCCAATGTTGGTGCGTTTTTGAAACATGCACCTATTCTTCTGACACAATCTCCCGCTTGAAAAGAAATAGCAGAAAGTGACACTACATAACCAGGCCGTTCGGACAAACTTACTGAATATGCCGAACTTCACGTCATCAAACCAAGATGGCCGAGGGCGGAATGACAAGCTCTGTGAGAAGGAGAAAACAGTACAGGTATTACACCATCATTGTAAGCATAACCATTTCAAATTTGACTAGCAGGCTGAAGTCGAAAGCAATAGTCGAGACAGAAGGGGTTACAAGTTCTAGTCCTGCTTGGAAGGCGAGGGGACTTTCCCAGCCACATGCTGCAGTCTAGGTTGCAGGCTATTGGGGACATGTTACCTGGCATAAGAACATGTTGTTATTAAAAGAAGATGGCTGCTCGCAATGCTGCAGCTCGTGTTCCTGCCGACTAACAGACACTTGACTGTGTCAAAAACAAATAAGACTGAAGTATAAGCTTATTACGCTCCATTAAAAGTTCTCTATTCACATACATGTGTATATGCATGTACAGAGCCAAAGGAATCTAATCCAGTGCTATGCCATCACGGAGGTGCAGCATGTGGACATATATCCAGATTGATGCTACCGCTGTGAGGATGTGATTGAGGCGCACTTGGCTATGAGAGGAATTAGATAACTTTGGCCATAACTGTAGCTAACTTGGAAGTCTATTTACGAGGTAAGTAAGGAAAGCAAGATTCCGATCGAATGGAAAACACATAGTCTTTGGTCCTTCAAAATTAATGTTGTCTTAACCTGTCCTGGTCCACTGCTACGTTGCCAACTCACCTGCCAGTTTGCTTCAAACGGAGGCGCAGGACATGCAGTTGTAGAAGTACTCACGGGACAGGCATGAGCAGACCGCCATGTTGCTATACATTACAACACATACAACGGAGCACAGAGGCAAACACCGGAGCATTCATGATATGATAACATTCAGTGTTTGCCTATCACTGAATGTTTTCAGGCATTTATTGCGAATTAGAACCCATGGAGGCTGAAAATTTAACAATCACCTTTCCTTGCCTCTTTTAAATAGAAGTAGGAGTATCAGATATGCTCTGTGCATGTTATGCGAGTAGGGTGCTCCTCAGATTAACGAATGCTCGCTGCCCAAAGCTGGCAGAGGTGTTTTTACACAATTGCCTGATGGTGAATAAAATGAAAAGAAATTACCCGTAAATTTCTGTGTCTGCAATCATGTTACACACACACACACACACACACACACACACACGCAACACACACACACACACACACACACACACACACACACACACACACACACACACACACACACACATGTACACCCACAAACACACACACACACACCACACAAAAACCACACACCACACACACACACACACACACACACACACACACACACACACACACGCACACACAAGTAGCTGCACAAGTAGCTGCACGCTCATACCTCTGTAGACATAGTTGGGCCACTCGTGTGCCTCCTCCGGCTGACCAACCCCAGCACTCGGGTCACAGATGAAATCCATGATGAGAGAGCGACGATTGGAAACGATGTCATGCAGTTCTGCAGACGATGTCAACGCAGACCAGGCAGCAGACCAGGCAGAACATGACAAACAAGCATTGGCACATGAATATGGCGAATGTCATACATTTACACGATATAGTCAACCGTGTAAATTATCAAGACGTTGTTTGTGAACATTCTGTATACCCACCAGCACTGCAGCCCGGTTTTTCACGCTGTTCATGCATGGAACATGCGGCTACTGCCAGTTTGGTCACAGAAGAAAAACAATGGCTTATATGACTTACGCCTTCTTCACCTAATTGAAAAAGTATTTTCCAATGTTCAAGGACTAGTCCACATGATTGTGTCCTCTACATACGAGGCTCAGAAGAAGCACCTCCATTGTGTTCATGGTGCTCTGCAGGACTATATACACACAAGAACTGGCTACATTCATGAGCAAGATGTGCTGTGTACAGGACCAGTCACAAGACCTACCTTTCGGCAAAGGCTTTCCTTGTTTAGAATCACCAATGCCAATACTACCATAGTCCATGATCTCCCTGTCCTGATGTTGATAGGAATGATTGGCTGCATGCAAACAGAGTAGCGGCTCACACTGTGTTCATCTTATACTGATACTGTTTCCATGCAAGCCAGGAAGGGTGAAGGCTATGATTGCCATTACCTCATGAGGTAATGGCAATCATAGCCTTCACCCTTCCTGGCTTGCATGGACCCAGTATCAGTATACTAGAAGTAGCATCATTGTCTGATAGCCACACACCGGCACACTCACCGTCATGCCATACAAATTGTACAGACGTGACAACTGGGCAGTACAGAATCTGCAAACCTCTGCTCTAACAAAGGTAGAACACTGCTCGGGGTGTTTGGATGTACGACATGGATGGATACCACACATTGTGGCATGCTATGGACTACTACTGCCACTGTCACTCATGCACACACTATATTCTGGATGAGTGATGGGGCAGATAACCCCGAGGGTTGTATAGCCACAATGTTGTGCTACATTTGCAGTGGGCTTATTCAGCACAAACCGACTATTTTCACTCTCAATTACACATGCTGTGTGTATGTGTGTGTGCATGGTGTGCGATGTGTGCGTGTGCGTGGTGTGTGTGTGTGTGTGTGTGTGTGTGTGTGTTTGCGTGCATGCATGTGTGTTGATTGCCCCACACTCTCAGGGTGTTGCTTGAGAACTCTATTTTGGTCTGTACGTGACTGGAAGGATTGTCAGTCTGAAGTTACGCTGTACCTCCATTGTAGTATACAACACGAACACCAGCCGTAGCATTGGATGGATCCACTGGGTACTGCAAGAACAGAAAAAACCCACAATGATTCTTTCTAGTGGTGTGCACGGGTATTCGGGTACCCGTGCTACCCGTGAGGACCTCGGGTAGTCGGGTACAGAATCGTACCCGAAAACCCGAAGTCGCAGATGACATAATACGGAGGATTAGCAAGACGAAATTCGCGTTCGCGTTCGCTCTCCAAGGAAAGTCGAACTCAGTGACGGAATTCGCGTTATGAGAAGGATTAGCAAACAGAATTCGCACTTGCATGACGTTGACACGACGTACATTGTGTACAGACAGTACAGCGTGGTAAATTTATGACTGCCCTGACACGAATCCGCGATTCGTGTTCCGACTACTTTTCCGAACGAAAAATGCGAAAGTTCGCAATCCAGTTCGCGAACTGAAAAGTGTTTGCGAACGCGAACGCGAATTTCGTCTTGCTAATCCTCCGTAATGTAGAAAGAGTAGACAGAGAGAGGTCTACAGTGCACGTGTACAAATAACTCACGTGTCTACCCATTGTGTAACATGTAAGTGAAGGGGCCGGTGTGCATTGTGGTCTTACCATGGAAACATTACCCGACCGGGTACCCGTGCTACCCGTGTAAAACTACCCGGACCCGATACCCGAAGAAAATGCTACCCGACTCAGCCCTAATTCTTTCCCAATGCCAGCCGAGGAGAAAGATAGAGGATATGGCACAACTCATACATCCTTCACCAAAGATTGATGCTGTCAACAATTTTCTTGTAAGAGTGCAAAGGAAATGAAGGACTTCACCTTAATTTCTTGTATTTTATCTCAGGGCTTGATTTCTCCATTTTGAGCTTGAAATCCACAAAATAAGGTCACCGGGGATTCTACAGTGCTGGCAACTGAAATCCGACCCCCTTGGCGGAGCGGCGCGCCGCCAAGGGGTCGGATTTCAGTTGCCAGCACTGTAGTTACACTTACCACAAGAGAGCTGTTCAGCTGAGCCAAGTAGTAGCAGTCTCCGAAATACAGCTGATACGCCGGAGAGGCCGGTAGAGCTGCACAACCCGACGGAAGAGAGCTAGCATCCAAGTTACCGCAAACGTTCAAAACATACGAGACGTTTGCGTGGTCCTCATCAGCAGCTGGGTAACCTTTGGGATTCTGCAGAGCGCTCAGATCATAATGAACGCATCCCGCAGCGGCTGGGTTGTCTACACCAAACGTGCAGGCACTCAGAGCAGGTGATACATTGCACCAAGCTAACACTATCACCAGCCAGCAGGCTGGTCGACACCAACCATTCAGCATGGACATGGTCCCTAATAAGAGCTTGGTGAACCACCGGTAGCTACGTCTCTCACTTCTAGCTGCCACCTTCGCTATGTCAGCGATGGCGAGCTGCTAGAAATACTGTGCGATCCCTATCAGGGTGATTGTTAATCTCTGAGTCACCACAGTAAATTTCACTCAGTCTAATAATATCAAACTGGAATTCCGACTGAGTGCTACAATTTGTTTGTTTCTTTAATTTGTGTAATATCTCAGCTTGTTGAATGAAGTTTTGCTCATTTATCTCGGAGTTTCTTCATAGCAACCACCAAGCTGCAAGGTCACTGACTGATTGCGTCAACGATGAAGTCGAAGGAGTCGAACTGCACAGTCCAGGAGTCCCAGGACCCAGACGTGCAGCAGATCACGTGATTCGCGAACCGTGTGCAGTCTATAAAACTACGGAGTACGAGTCTTTGACTTGTGCACAGGCGCTGGGACAATATGTGGACATGTACAGCGCATTTACTTGCCATATGATATGCATTAGGGACTTAGATCCAGGGCAAAACATAAAACTGTCCGTGCTCACTTCGGGATACTAGTACTAGTACTGTACACTGACAATGACAGACAGTGCTAGTGCTTGCATGCAGGCCATTGACACACCAACCCCCCCCCCCCCTGCCTCCAAAACAGGGAGTTGTTTGTACGACTCCCTGGTTCAGCAAAAATCAAACCTTGATTGGCTTCAGGGCATGTACACGGGGCCAATGATCAGCCATCGTGACAGTGGCCAGCATCAGAATATGGGCTAAATTGAAGTAATGCAGTGCAGGCATGCCACTGCCAGCCATGGATAGCAAACACCAGTGCGTCCTGCAGGCCGGAACACTGAATGCTGCATGACGCCGATGCAGAGCCAGCTAATCATGCACCCAAACAACCAGCAGACCTAGGGAGCTGCTCAGTATTATTTACCTCTCGTACGTTGTGAGAAGTTCGGAATTATTGAGAAAACACAGAGCCTTAACTCATGACAACGAATACGGAAACTTAGCTCGTCACGATGTGGGAACACACAGTACAGCCAAGATCAAAGAAACAAGAGCAGCTACTTCAAAAGGACACGCATAGTACGAACACTATGTCCAGGCAGTGAAAGAGCAGCACAGAGCAGGCCAGCTGCATACACTGAGTGCATGGTTACATCGAATGGAACATGCCATAACCACACTCATAGAACATATAATTTCAAACGAGATAAACTTCTACAAAGACGAATGATGACTAAGAAAAACAGACAAGCAAAAGAGATGCTATTCTTTGGATAAATAGACAAACTATAGCTTTAGGAGGATTATGAAATTACAAGCCACTGATGACAAACACCCAGGCATGCTGACATGGCAGACGAATAGTGTCCACATCCGGTACTGTAATGTGAAAACCATCTGCCGCTTGACTTGCTGTCAGCTTGCCCGACATACCCATCATCTGCACGGACACTGTGCTGGGAGCATTCTTGATTTGAGTCAGCACTACATCACCTGGCTTGCCACCACTCACTGTAAAAAGAGATGTCAAACAAATAATTGCAGCATTCAGAGATAGTGATGTCATTCGAGACACCCTCAAAATGAAAATTTCAAGTGCGAGTTACCGTGTGTGCTACTACCTCAGCACATACACATTGCTAATAGAAGAACAATAACCCGGAGTTCAGGATTGCTATGTCCTCACACCAACTGACCAACAGTATCAACACACACCATACCAGTTCACCCACCACATGCTCTGCCAACAGCTTTATGTTGCAGGGGCAAACCACACACTCAACTGACATGCACAGCAGTGCAAGATGCCATTCTAAGAAACCAGCAACTGAGCACAAGGACACCGCCACACTTACCATGTACTGGCCAGTCAAAGGAGATAGCATACACATCACCGGTTGCCTACAAGACGTGTGACACAAACAATAAAGAATACCAGCCATATCAAACAACGAGTGGTGCAAGCATCTGGCAGCCTTTTCATTAGCACTTTTCAAATCTGTTCATCCGTGCTATGATTAGGCATACGACTGACAGCTGAAGAGAAGACTTCAGAAGTGGAAAAGAGAATAGCTAGTTACCCTACACTGAAGTCATATTCACACAGGAATGATGCAACCTATATCAGTAAGCGGTGGTCTTCTCCAAGGCGATCATTTTACTACACATTGATCCGTACCAGTGAGCTACTCGTACTTATCCGCTATGGACAATTCCCTAATACGTTACAGGTGATAATGCTAGGATTTATAGATACAATGTATGTAGCAACGAAGAGCTGTGTCTTACCTTTGATTGGGTATACCAGATGCGTTTGGCGCTAGTATCGTTCTGCGCAATCCATGGCTTTGTGCCGTAAATGGCATCACCATTCACCTACATGTCATGCAGAAAGACACCAGTGGAGTAATACACACAACTGAATACACAACGAGAGAAGCAGAATGCTGTTGATTATCGGTTATTCAGACTAAACCCTGCGTACGGGTAACTCTGAGTGAGGGTAGGGGAGGAAAGGAGGGGCTGGGCGGCGGATGAACTTTCTCTTCTGCTAACAATAGAGCGGTAAGTAATGTTCCGTGCTATAAAGATTCCACTATCCAATCTCCAGGAACACACTATGGCACTGCTGTGCCATTGCTAGCAGTAATACTGGCCAGCCACGGATTCAGGTACCACAATTCTGAGAATGGTCTAGGCATTGGCAAGACCATAGCCACAGTTACCTTCATCCAATCTCCAATTTGTAGCAGTCGCTCTTCAAAGGCTGGGACAATTCTTCCATCAGCTGTTGGTCCGATGTTCAACAGAAGATTTCTAAAACAGGAGCAGTCAGAAAAAAACTTTTAGGAGACTTAGATAATACAGTTGGTCACGGGGTGCATGCATGCATGTGTGTGTCCGCGTGTGTATGAGTGTTCATGTACGTGTCCGTGAGTGTGTTTGTGTGTGTGTGTGTGTGCATGTGTGTTCGTGTGTGTGTGTTCATGTGTGGTGTTCTTGTGCGTGCATTGGTGTGCATGTGTTCAGTGTGTGCACGTATTTGTGTGTGTGTGTGTGTGGATGTGTGTGTGTGTGTGTGTGTGTGTGTGTGTGTGTGTGTGTGTGTGTGTGTGTGTGTGTGTGTGTGTGTGTGTGTGTGTGTGTGTGTGTGTGTGTGTGTGTGTGTGTGTGTGTGTGTGTGTGTGTGTGTGCATGTGTGTGTGTGTGTGTGTGTGTGGATGTGCATGTGTATGTACACATCAAGTGCATGTGCTTTATGCTTCTATTCAGACGGTAAACCTTTTTCCATGCATACCGTACACAGTATATTTGACTGTATGGGAAAAAAACGCACTCTGTCCCCACACTGGTAGTTGCTCTGAGTATGTTCCCATTCAATTGGCCACATGCAGACAAGTCGGCGTTATCAAGCAATCTGCTTACCCATTGCAGCTGACAGTGTCGACAAGTTGGTAAATCAAGTCGGTGGTGTTGATGAAGTTGGCGATGCCCTCCTAACATTGGTTGCATTCACATCATAAAATACAACAAAAGCCATTGATTACCAAAGTCATGAGCTACAGCGAGACTATGACACATTGAGGTACACTCTAAACATAATGATGCATACCATACTTTCACGTAAGGAAGAAGAGGTCCAGTTGTAACTAACAGTGTCATGCTGGCAAAATTATCAGACAACTCTACAACGAAATTCAAATAACACATCTTCTCTCTTCTGTGTAAAAACTTTAAAGCTCCACGATCCGTGCATTGAGTGATTTCCAACAAATGCCATAACCCTCTGCGCAAATCACGCCTTATCCATCTAACAGATCAATAGCCACGTTGGAGAAGCATGTCGCTAAAGGTGAAAAAAAAGTTTAACGCATTCACTGTTTAGTAAGGCAGCAGCACGGCTGCTCACCGTTCGGTCAAAGCCCCAAGAGTGTTGTTGAATGGTGAAGCAACTCTCCCACTTGCTGGACACTTTCTTGCCAGGTGTCCAGCGATCAGGTCCTGTAGTGTAATCGCCTCCACTGCCAGTTCCCCAGCTAATAACAGTACACACACACACACACACACACACACCTCAGACCTGCCCATCGCGGAAGCGATGATAGCGGACAGCTATGTTAGACATAGCAACTTGTGCTGGGATTACACCATTCAACAGCTTGCAATGCTGATGAATTGACCGCCACTAGTTTTAGCCTAGTATCCACCACACAGCTGATTGAAGTGACTTTTTTCTGGCCAGTGAATCCCTATTAATTTTTTCATTTTTCTTCTTTTTTTCTTTCTTTTTTTCCTACACACACACCACACCACATACTCCGACATACACTGGCTGTTGGTAACCACCCAGGAGAATGAAAGAAAAGTCAGGAAGAGTCCGAGAAAGAGAAGAAAGACTTGTGCGACCATAATCGTCGGGAATTGAACCCGCAACCGCTCGATTGGAAATCGACTGCACATACCACTGCACCATATGGGACACACACACATACACACACACACCTCAGACCTCAGACATGCCCATCGCGGAAGCGATGATAGCGAACAGCTATGTTAGACATAGCAACTTGTGCTGGGATTAGACCATTCAACAGCTTGCAAGGCTGATGAATTGACCGCCACTATTTTTAGCCTGGTATCCACCACACAGCTGTTTGAAGTGACTTTTTCTGGCCAGTGAATCCCTATTTTTCATTTTTTTTCTACACACACACACCACACCACATACTCCGGCATACACTGGCTGTTGGTAACCACCCAGGAGAATGAAAGAAAAGTCAGGAAGAGTCCGAGAAAGAGAAGAAAGACACACACACACACACACACACACACACACACACACACACACACACACACACACACATACATACACATAATTTGGATGCTTTTCTATGGCAAGGAAGTGCAAAATTGTGGCAATTACGTATGATCCCTTCTGACCATCATTGATCAGGCATGTGGCATTGTCAGCTCAGCATTGACATGTGTACAGCTAACTCAACAGGTACACGGCTGTACATGTATTTTCGTTTTTGCAGTCATGTGTGCCGCCATGGTTTAGTTGGCAAAAGCACCTATCTAGCAAACAGGAGATCCTCGCTTGCAAGAGTACATAACCCCCAAGAGTGTGCACCTCCAGCTATGGGTTTTGCGACGGCAGAACTTCACATTACGTGACAAACTCGTGCACATTATTTCCACCCTATGCACAATAGATACAGGGTTGTACGTGTCCGCAACTCTGCTTTGGGTTCAACTCTCCAGTGGTCACTGTGCACTGTTTTCCAGCGGAACCTTTTTGAACAAGTCACGTGATGTGAAGTTCTACCGTCGCAGCACTGCATAGAGGCTGTGCAGGCAGTTGCAGACTTTCATTCCTAATGCAGTCGGTAAGAAAAGCTTAATACTAGGGTAGTAATAATACTACTACTCTACTCACCGACTGTTCACCAGCACAGTATCCTTGACAGGACTTTCATTGTACAACCAGCTGATAAATTCTGGTGCTTTCCAGTAGGTGACTGAATCACGGGAACATCGGTTGTCACCAGCGGCACCATCAGCCCAGATGACTTCAGGCTGTGCAAAGAAGACATTTTGAGAAGGATGTGACACCACCATGGAGCCATTTGAAGACCATAAGAGCAGGGCGTTTTCGTGAGCCTGGGACCTGATAAGATTTCTCTCACGAGCAATAGAAAAGAAAAGCAACCGGTCTTCGACCTCTCCAAACCACACATTGTGAGCTCTCGAACTACATGGCCATTGAAAAGACGTGTTGCATTGGGTCAGAAAATGCCTCTGATTCGGATGATTAGACAACATGGTGTATACATTCTGGCAATGTGGAAACAGAGTGCCATTGTAGTATAATGCAAGCTCTGCGGCGGATACCATCTTCTCATACCTTATATCTAGTGGTCATGTCCTTCAACGTTGGCATCAGAACCTCGTCGACAAATTTCGGATCCGTGCAGTTGTTGTCATTATCCTACAGAACATGATGGGCGGGCATAGCATACAGCAGCACGCTTGAAGTCTTAATTGCCTGGTAAGTTGTGACATATCCAATGAGGCTGCACCATACACATGGCATTGCACTTTTCTATTCAGTTCATCTAATACTTTTGAGACGAAAAGGGAGTCAGGCACAGAAAATAAGTAGTAGGAGGATATGGAGGGGAGACACAGAATGATAAGAAAGAGTCACATTACTCCACATGAACGAACTAGACGACCCAATGCTACCTGTCTCCTCATTCGCTACCTGATGGCTGCAATTTTCCGCTTCCCTAAAACTGATGAAAAGAGTTGTAATGTTAGGATCTGCTATCATGCACATGAAACTGCTGATAAGACCCATAGATCCACTACGTGCAGAGGACTTGGCCACATCTTGCCTATTTCCACTGGCTACGACAGCACTATTGAACCATGCTTACCTCCAGGAAGAGAGGGTTGTACCACTCTCTCATGCTGTGATACAGACCCATGTGTAGCCCTGCTGCCCTCACACTGTCTGTCAACTCCCCAACAAGATCACGATGAGGACCAGTGTCCATGCTGAAAAGACAGGGAAACAACAAACAGTTGCAGAACACAAGGACTGATAAGGAACAAAAAAAAGTGTGATTTAACTTTGATTGGTTGGGCCGCATCCAAGTTTTCCTGAACAGACGTGATATGATCGGCTGGTTTGGTACAGAATATTCGGACCTTGCCATGGGCATATCATACTTGACGTGTTGCAGACAAGCCAGCCATGCTGCTAGTCATGAAAACTTTCAAAGTACTGAATGCACGTTTCCCTACCCCTATAAACACGTGAGAGTCCCGGACTCAGGCTGTACAGCCCTAGCAATGAGCGCACTGGTCAAGGCTGTGAATGCGGTCCTACTCTGTTCATGATGACTTTGACATGCAAGCACTCAAGAAAGGAAACAACCAAAGCTAGTAATCTCTAACCTGTTCCAGTTCCAATGTTGAGCACTTGGGAAGTTGCACCACCCTTCGTGATGTTTGGATGTCAGCACAATATCTATAGTGGATACGGAATGTGAAATATGATAACTATCACGGCTCGAGTGAGACTCAGTCAGCCTGAGTTTTCCGCATTCGCAGGAAGTAGGAACAACACCACCCTCAAGGATCAAGGCAAAGATGCTAAAGCTCCTAAAGCAGGGGGAGGTGAGTAGATCAGACCCACCGCAAAGTGGTCAAATACTGAAAATCCCATTCGTTGCATCCATGTTTCCCTCGTACCAGGCCATGTGTTTAACTGCGGGTCGCAGCACGGTCGATTGAAAACATCCTTCCGCTTCCCTGCAGGGCTTAAACCTCCCATCCCCTGTTTCTCAGATTAATAATATTATGGTTTTAGACCATCCCACTTTACCCGCCATAAAAACGTTTTTAAGCATGGGCTAATTATTGTCCATACACAACATTCATCCGGTGTACATTGCGCAACAATCAGGGATAATATTTGGCAACTCTCATTAAAATTAATATAACGCATACGATCCAATCACATTTCCATCACTAACATTTTGCACCCGAATTCTTGAAGAGCGCAGCCCACTCATCTGGATCATAGAAGTCAGTGTTGAACATGGGTGCAAAGTCAGCATAGCTGCAATACACAACATTGCAAACGGCAAACATTCTCAGTCTGCAACATCAGGCCACTGCAAAATCACATCGACGGATGTCAACCCAATTACTTGGAGATGAAAAGCAGCGGCATACAAAATGTTCTAAAACCAGTGCTTGAACCGGCGATAGCATCTATATTAAAAGTATCCATGCCAGAGACTGACATACAATGTAGCATACAATGTAGCATACAATGTAGCATGGTGCACTTCTATACACAAAACAAAGTACTACAATCAAGTCCTACTACGTCAAAAGTTCATTTATCACACTTATCATCATGACATAAATACTTAGAAGTATACGATACGTTGAACTCCTCCAAAAAATTGAACACTAAGTTGCAGCAATACCATAGCAATTATGTATGTAATAGCTACTTCACATTCTCCCTTTCTCAAAAATGCAATACACCATTAGGAGTATTCACTGGTTTGAGAGAAAGACATATTAGGAGTATTGTCTATATACTTGCAAGCAAGAGTAGATAAACAAGAGTGTGCAACTCGCGGATGGGTTGGCCCACGGCGGAATTTTTTGTTGACGTAATCTTTTCGACGACGCACGCAGTGCGAGCCTTTTGGAGAGGTTTCCCTCGTGCACTTGGCCGGGCTTTACACTACAAGGTCGGTGCCCAGCACGTGCTCTCACACTGCTCTGCGGCAAAGTCCGCGTTTCTGAAAAAAGGTGACGTCAACAAAAAATTCCGCCGTGGGCGGGGGTATCTGCAGATTGTGCAGGAGAGATCCGGAGTTGCACACTCTTGTTTATCTACTCTTGTTGCAAGTATATTTTAGTTATCGGGTCCACTTCATCAACACCTCACCTGAACTCCTCCCCGGTGCACGGGAACTTCTCAGGCTGTACACCTGAGCAGCCGTAAACTCGATTGTGGAAGTTGACAGTGTCCGGATCTCCAGTCATGAGCCGTCTCCAATACCACTCAGTTTTAAATGACGGCACGCTGAAAATTCCCCAGTGAACTACGGGGAGTGAGAAGAGAAAGAATAACGACTGTGAGGAGCGCGATCACCTCGAAACCAGTACTGTAAAGCGTGACATTTTCGCGGCGTTTTTAGTTCGCGTTTTCAGAATCCGGACAGGTTTGCGAGGTTTTAATTTTGCGATTGCAGAATTTGCCACTGTGGCATTCATGCTAAACCTTTTATGGATCTCCTTTTCGCACTGTCTAAATTTCGCGATTTCCACGCGGTCGCGAATTTCCCAGAAATTAGACCATCGCAATAATTTCACGGTTTACAGTATGCATCGTATGTATCCAGCACAATGTAAGAGTAGCAAAATGGAATAGTTGGACTACCTAGGTGCCTTTCATTTTAGAGGAAGATATTCTCAAATGGGCACCATGCTGCTGCTTACCCCTTTGTTTGGCAAACAGTACAAGCACTTTTACTGGGGCATGAACATTCAGTGAGGGTGAATTTACACACTAGCATTTGCCAATCAATTTACCAAAAATCTCAAAGATTTTTCTGAGCTACCATATTTACTCCTCCCCGATAGGCCATTTTCAATGGATTAGTGACGAGGCTGAAGCACACGATATGGATACAATCTGTCCTATCGTTCAGGCGCAGGCTACAACGCCGCTGACTTACTGAAAATGCCAAACTTCACATCATCAAACCAGGTCGGCCGAGGGCGGAATGAAACACTCTGAGGAAGATATCCACAAAGATGGCAACACAGCAAAGTCTTGTTATTTTACGAGTCACATGTCTCCCTAGGACTCTACAGCCATGCAATCTACATGTATAGCATATCTAATCAGTAAAACTGAAACGAATACACTGAAGGTTCAGATAGAGATCGGTTAGTGATATAACCAACACCAATTTGTCAGTCTTTCTGTCAACTTGAATAGCACGTTCATATCGAGTAATGGACATTTCGTATTTTGTTCGTGGCTGAGTCTGAGTCTGGGGATGTTTCTTGTATTTTCATGAAGTTAAGTCACATGTACAGTAATTTAATAATTTTCAATATTCGATTTTCAAATTTCATTTCAAGCCTAGCAGTGAGTCCTAGTGGTTCAATGAAGAAAACCATACTGATAAGCAACAAGAAACTGAGTGCTAAGACAAACTATACAATTGCTTGTATACCCATCCAGTTACTTTAGTAGCATGTTATAATCTGCCACAGTGAACAGGTGTGTGTTACTAAACTACAGATATTCCTACCAGAACTCCCTCTTTTAGCCCTCTCCTATGAAACCTACCAGCCAGTTTGGTTCAAATGGAGGCGCAGGACATGCGGTTGTAGACGTGCTCACTGGACAGGCATGTGCTGATCGCCATGTCACTACACAGGGCAAGCGGAGGGCAACAAAACACACTTTTCAATGCGCAGATCATTGCTGTTGGAAGATCACCCTGCAGCGTGAAACTCTGCACTACAACAGATTGCTCATTCCATTCGTGCATAGTGTGTGAACAGCTCTGCACACTGTGTATCGGGCACGCATACAGCAAAAATACTTGCCAGCGAGGACATATTGTGCTCATGATTATCAGGGACTTTTACTTGACTACCTCTAACATCCTCCACGCAAGGGAATCTTGACATCACTGAAGTGTGTGCATACGAGTGCAACATGTACATCACATGTGACCGTGGGAATGCTATTAATAAGAGGAGAACTGTATGGTCTTCGTGATCATTGTCACAATGAAAGCATACAAGGCGGCCCTACCTCTGTAGACGTACGGAGGCCACGCATGCACCTCCTGCGGGCTTCCCATGCCGGCACTTGGGTCACAGATGAAATCAAGGATGACAGCGCGACGATTGGCGATGATGTCATGCACATCTGCAACATACGGATGAAATCAATCAATAAGAAAATGTTTTGCACACAGAACCCTTTGGCTACAAAATTACCACAATAGTTTTCAAATCTTACTTCGAAGTAGAAAGACCGCCACGATCAATTTCATCCACTGTGGCATACAGTGAAACCTGTCTAAGGCGACACGTCAAGGGACGAGAAAAAGTGGTCGCCGTGGCCAGGTGATCTTCCTATCCAGGTTCAGTGGGTCACGTGACCATGTCCACATGTGATACATGTGATATATCATTGTGATCAGTGTATCACAGTGCACACACCTATGCTACTCTCGCACGACTCATGTGCCTGGGGTCCTCAGACCTGTCAACTGTCGTGCATGCACCATGCACATCTACACTTCCTGCACTGATGTGTAGACCTACCATGCATGGTGCTGCACCATGCAATGCATACATTTACATGCACTAGCACTGTGCAACGCGGTCACGGGCGGGTGGCCGTCGGTCGCGTTGAGCGAGTGGTCGCCTTCTCCGAGCTGTTTTGAATGTGAATGCGTCCGTGACAAGGAAATATGGTCGCCATGGCCGAGTGGTCGCCATTACAGGTGCTACTGTAGATCATGCGCACTGAGTTCAAAAATACAACCGATAAAAGCCATATTTTCTACTGCACAGTTATGCTGCTGAAACTGAATTAATGATGGCATACTAACTACGAGGCAAACAAAACACATGCTCACTCTGATGAAAAACATGTGTACCTTTCGGCAAAGGCTTTCCTTGCTCAGCATCACCAATGCCAATACTACCATAGTCCATGATCTCCCTCTTATCTTGCTGATCGGAATGAGTGTCTGCAGATTACAAGTACAATATCAGTGTACGAACAATCAGAAATTCTCCACTTTCATCTTCTTCTTCTGTCACCCTGACGATAGGTCAGGCCTAAATATTTGGTGGAATGTCAAGTTGATCGTAGTGAAGATACCGCTTTTGGAGTTGGAGAAGTGAAGAGTTACATAAAGAGATAAATGAATTGTGATTCGAGTTTAAATTGTTTTGCGGGATATCAGGACACACAAATATATCCATTATGGCATGGTTGGGAGGGCAATAATGGATTTCAAGTCCAGCCCCATCATAATTAAATTCTCACACCATAACCGTTCTTCTGTGTGCCACAGTAAAAAAAAGGTAAACATACTTAACATGCAGAGATGTTGCACGTTCAACTTTCGGCTTACCCCCATTGTAGTAGACAACACGAACACCAGCCGTAGCGTTAGCAGGATCCACAGGGTACTGAAAATACACAGAATCGAGAAGTACAATTAATTATGTTATAGTCACTGTAGTAAATGTTTGCAGTGTGCATATTCTACATACATATTGCCTGGTGAGAAGGACACAGTTGATCTATGAAGTCTAACGTACTTGTAGTCTATGACCGGTGCACAGCCCAGTGTTCAAGGGGGGGGGGGGGGGGGCAAGCCCAAGCAGTCACAGTGCTCATATCATCTGTGAGTGCATAGTCTGCAGCACTGAGTGTGAAAACACATGCAATCAGATTTTTGGGCAGCATTGTACATGTGCCACATAGCAGAGAGTGTCTTCATATTTACATTTACCACCCCCCCCCCCCGTCTTTCCTCTCCCTCCCGTATGCAGCTACGCGTACCTGTCATTTAGGCCGGTATAGCTGAGCTCGGTGAAATCCGACGTCGTGAACGTAGTACAGTTTTCTAGCATTGGACGCTATGAAGTCCAAACACCACACCTTGGAACTCTGCGTTCAGCCACAATGCAGAGCACTGTTGTAATCATGTGGCTGGACCCTCATTCCGCAAACAGCATTACTAGTACCTTCCAGTTTGATCGTTGATACGGTAAAAGAATTGTTTTACGGGGAAACCTAGTGTCAAATGCTAAGTTTTGAGACTTTTATGGGGAAGATGACTTGCTGTGTGGTTTGTGAATACATGGCTAGATTTTCATTTACGTTTACTTGACCTTGCCACATGTAATTAGAAACTGTAGTAGCCAGCCAGCAAACCGATAGTTTCGAAATAAAAATCAACACACACAAGTATCAACATTATGCATACAGGCGCAGAATAGTGCTTACCACAAACGAACTGTTCAGCTCGCCAATGCTGTAACACTTGTCGACAATCTGAACCGCTGGAGAGGCGGGTAGCGATGCGCAACTCGATGGCAGGGAGCTAGCATCCAAGTTATTGCAAACATTCAACACATACGAATAGTCTGCGTGGTCCTCATCAGTAGCTTTGTAACCTTTGGGATTTTGCAGAGCGCTCAAATCGTAATGAACGCATCCCGCAGCGGCTGGGTTGTCTACACCAAACGTGCAGGCACTCAGAGCAGGTGATACATTGCACCAAGCTAGCACTATCACCAGCCAGCAGGCTGGTCGATACCAGCCATTCAGCATCTCCCCTTGCTTTGTTTGAAACCTTTCCTGCCTCCCAATCCTCGTTTCCAGAAATCAGTAGCGGACTGAGTGAATAGCGCAGTGGATTTCCTTTTTTACTATGATGTTTATTTGCCTCATTTAGATTTACATCCATTATTATTACTAATTATATTAGATTTGCATTACCATGACTTGAGTACACCATGGTACACCACTAGCACTGAGCTCATTACAATCATGACATGAGCTGTAGCAGTGTAGGGCCGCTCTAACTACGTAACTTACTTCTAAGCTCAGCTGAAGATCACGTGCTCTTCGCATTTCGCAAGCGGCACATGCATACACCTGTACACAGGGGCGGATCCAGAGATCTCTACAGGGGGGTTCCGGTTGAACCAACAGCCAAAATATTATGGAATCAGATGTGCGGTTGGCACTTGTAATAACGACAATCCGATTGTGTTAGTGGGAATCGCATGCTTTTAAAACACACCACGGACATAATATTATTATATTTTTCCATCATCGACCACACCACAACTGCGCTCTCCAGCCGGCCTCGACACGTTGCCACAGCACACCACCATCGCTGGAGACTGAGTCGGAGCGCAGTTGTGGTGTGGTGGACGATGGAAAACCTGTACAGGGCCAAATGCTGCTGCCTACCCTACATTGAATATTATTTAGTACGGGCACATAATCATATACAAACATGTATGCAATCGACTGGCACACAGGTTCAGTGAGGGCTTGAAGACCCTTTCAACTTCTTGTAAAGATCGGATATGCAAGCCATTGGTACGTTGAGAGCTAGGAATGCCGAAATGACAACTAAGTTACTCAGTTCCCTGTCCATTTGTACTTTCGGAATTTTTTGGCCTTTTTACGATGCGAAATGCTCTATAGTCACAGGACAAGAGCATCGTCTTCACTTCAGTGACAGAAACAACAGCAGCAAAACAGTGTCCAATCCTTCCAATGTCATCTAAAACACATCGCTGGCGCAGCATTCCGTTCCTGCGGAGGAACAACTAGTCATTACTGCATGCTGCAGCAGGTAGAGATTACTGACTTTGCTTGGATGTCGGAGCCCTCATCTTCTGAGGAGCTTGAACTCTACGTGTACGGTTCGAAGTTCGTTGAAGAGTGTCAGTACTCGGAACATCCTTTGTCTTCTGCAAAAAACTTGTCCAAGGAATACTGACCACACCACACCCATCCTGAGCAGCAGTGAATGACAGCGCCAATGGAGGTAAGTTTGGATCGTTTCGAAAGATCAAAAAGGAAACAAAATGTTGTCTACAGTCAGTGTCCGTTTGTAAATCACGGACGTGAACACCAGTACAGACAGTACAGACTACTATCCGTACAGTATCGATCTACCGCACGCGCATGCAGTGCACTGACTGACAGTCTGTGCTCCTTGACTCAGTCAGTCAGTGACTGCACGGACTGTGATCGGACGGACGACCTTTTGTGCACACATGATATTTTCGATATTTCTCAGCAGCTAGCCGCACACTTGTCTTTGCAAATTTTAGGGGGTTCCATGGAACCCCCGGACCCCCCCCCCCCCCTGGATCCGCCACTGATACACGACTACAAGCGAACAGGAAGCACGCCAAAATCAGCGTCACGTCAGAAATAAAGACAGTGCATCTTCATTCATCTACAAAGTAATTGTAATACAATGTAATTGTGATCTTGTGCACCCTGTAAGAAGACCGTAGGGTCTGTTAATAATACAATACAAATACAATACAAAACAATAAACTGCACACAGCATGATAATATGCTCACATTGTGATAATTATAAAAATGAAAACATGAGAAACAGTGGGGCACACGTTGTGCGGTAGAGGCCACCACCTACATGTAGACCAGATCTTGAGCAGTCACACTTGCAGTCACACTTGCAGTCACACTTGTCACACTTGTCACACTTGTCACACTTTCACAACAACTGAAAAAGGAGTACAGTACTGAGACATTTCACGCCATGAAAATGAGCTTGCGCACTGCTCGATTAGCGATTACCAACGAC